GTGTACATGCAGTCAATGTATGATTATAATGATAATCGCCATCGCCATCACTATCAATGAATCCTTTTTATTGATCATTAAAACTTGTTATTGCCGGTTCATTCGCTCTCTCTCTCCCTCCCTTCTTCACTGCATTTTCCAGTACATTTCGTATAACAAGATTGCAAAATGAACATTTAAAAAATTCACCAGAACAAAAATGTTGATAATGTTAAAATCATGTTAACATGTTGTTGATGGGGCATATTGATAACGAAAAAAAATAAAGAAAAAAAATCCCATCATGAACCGGCTTAGTTCAAAATCTGAATTTCAATTAATCAATCTCTTTTCACTCACTACATATATGGTGAATGTCTTTTTGTCCGATAAGAACAAGAAAAATGGAAATTTCAATGTCAGAATTTCTTCAACCAAAAAAAACCATTGAATAATTCAAAATCCAAAAAAAATAATAATATTTGAATCAATTTCGGTTGCAATTTTTCATCATTAATATTTTCCTTCATTGAAATTCAATCAATCAATCAAAACGAAAAGGTTTTTAAACTTTTTTTTAAATTTCAATCAAACAAAAAAGTCATTGATTTTTTTTCTGAGGACAAAAATTCTAAATCAAAATTTTATTTCAATTTAAAGAAAAGAAAAAAAAAACACACACACAATATTTTGAATTTTTTTGATTATAAATTTTGGCAAATTATATTAGTAATAAGTAAAAAAAAAAGAATTTGTTTTTTTTTTGTTTTTTCACCTAATCTTTTTAATGTAAAGAAAAATGATAAAAGAAATTCCATATAAATGATGTGTAATGATTATTATTAAAAAAAAAATTTGAATATTGCTTTTGTGAATTTCTTGATTTCTTGATTTTGCTTCCAATATGTTCTTATTATTCTTTGGATGATTTCCATCAACGAATGTTCATAATTTTACCCCTTTAATTTTCGTAGGAAAAAACCAAATGAAAATGAATGGAAATTTTCAAATGAATCAAAACATCAAAAACTTACTTAATATTACGTTTTTCTTTTTCAATTTTTTCCGGTCGGGCACGATTTAAAACTTTTAGAAAATCTGATGTTTTTGCACGCATACGTGAATGTATATATGCTTTTGAACATTTTATATGATAATGAAGATAATCACGAAATGTATGTATTAAATTTATTGTATTATCTCTATTCGCCTTACAGGTATGTCTTGGAAACAATACAAATGTTATATNGCTAGACATTATTTTATCATCATCTATGCCACATCAATTAATATTTGAAATGGTAAATGTAGAACATATCAATCTGCAGGTGTACATGCAGTCAATGTATGATTATAATGATAATCGCCATCGCCATCACTATCAATGAATCCTTTTTTCTGATCATTAAAACTTGTTATTGCCGGTTCATTCGCTCTCTCCCTCCCTTCTTCACTGCATTTTCCAGTACATAACAAGATAAAGATTGCCAGAAAAAAATGAACATTTAAAAAATTCACCAGAACAAAAATTGATGATGTTCAAAATCATGTTAACATGTTGTTGTTGATGGGGCATATTGATGATAACGAAAAACAAAAAAAAAAGAAAGAAAAAAAAATCCAACATGAACCGGCTTAGTTCAAAATCTGAATCTCAATCAATCAATCTCTTTCACTCACTGTCTATGGAAATTTCAATGTCAGAATTTCTTCAACAAAAAAAAAGTACCATTGAATAATTCAAAATCCAAAAAATAATATTTGAATTTCCATTCGATTTGGTTTCCATATTTTTCATCATTATATTTTCCTTCATTGAAATTCAATCAAAAAAAAACGAAAAGGTTTTTAAACTTTTTTAAATTTCAATCGAACAAAAAGGCATTGATTTTTTTTCTGAGGACAAATTCTAAATCAAAATTTTATTTCAATTTTTTTTTTTGAAAAAAAACACAAAATTTTTGAATTTTTTGAATAATACAATATCCAGTTTTAGTATCAATTTTGGCAAATTATATTAATAATTAGTAATAGAAAAAAGAATTTGTTTTTCACCTAATATTTTTATTTAAAGAAAATGATAAAAGAAATTCCATGGTAAATGATGTGTCATGATTATAAAATTTGAATATTGCTTTTGTGAATTTCTTGATTTTTGCTTCCAATTTTTTCTGGATGATTTCCATCAACGAATGTTCATAATTTTACCCCTTTAATTTTCGTGGGAAAAAACCGAATGAAAATGAATGAAATTTTCAAATGAATTGATATCAAAAACTTACTTAATATTACGTTTTTCTTTTTCAATTTTTTCCGGCCGGGCACGATTTAAAACTTTTAGAAAATCAGATGTTTTTGCACGCATACGTGAATGTATATATGCTTTTGAACATTTTATATGATAATGAAGATAATCACGAAATGTATGTATTAAATTAATTGTATTATCTCTATTTGCTTTACAGGTATGTCGTGGAAACAATACAAATGTTATATAACCAATATTATTACCAATACGTGCATCAGTATCTTGTAATTCACGTGGTGGTTCACGATGTGAAAATAATACCTGTGGTGCTGTATGTGATGCTTTTCTACCTTCTTTAAATTCTTGCATAAATACTTTACCCAATACAATATCATCTTCATCTTTAAATATTGTACTAAATATAACTGTAACACGATCTAATTGTGCTTCAACATACATTGTTTCATCATCACGATAATGTATAACGGCACGATTATTATTTTTTATATCATTTTCTTGAAATTCAAAATATTTTTCAAATACCGATGCAAAACAATTACGTTTTAATAATGATGCTTTCTGTATCATTGATTCTTTATCCGTTGGTAGATTTTTTAAATCATATAATAATGTAACATTGTAACCATCTTCGGCTGGTTTCATCAGATAATCACCATATTCACGTTTGAGTAGATCATCAGCACCATATTGTTGTAATTCTTTATAAAATTTTAATGAAATACTGATACGTATTTTGGTTTTATCACCATTCAAATTTGAAATATGAAATATAACACCATCAAAATCGGCAACAGTTACTTCAACTGAATCGGCTTTATTATTTTTTCTATGGTGAAACAAAATCAAAAGGTAAAATTCAAGTAAAAAACAAACGAAAAACTTACTCATATTCAGAAATTTTCAAACGAAGAATATCTTCAATAACACGATTATTGAATTCTAATAAAATCATTTTTGTGTTGGAAAGAAAAAATAAATTCTTTTTGTTTCAAATGGCTAATTTATTGCAGCAAATGATGATTATTTTTTTTTTGGCTAATGGAAGGCTGTATTGATTTATTTTTAAAAAAAACAGATAGCTAATCAAATGTCGGTTTCACTTGACAACCAAATACACACATTCATTCATTCGACAAAGCAGTAATCATCAAATTGCTAATCATCAATGGCAAAAAAAAACAAAAACGGAAAACAAAAATCCAATGTAAAATCAATGGTGTTATTGATTTGGCTCACATATCATCATCATCATCAACAACAAAAACAAACAAACAAAAATGATATCACCGGTTTCGCCCAATAAAATTTTCATTCAAATTCATAAATGACGTTAAACGTAAAAATAATTTGAAAGTCACAATATGATTATCTTGAAAAAATAAATTTAACTTTGACCAATGCTACTATCACAAAACGTTTGCCTTACTGATAATTAGCAAACATGATAAACATAACCCGTAGAGGATTTATGTATTTACGTTTTTCATTGTGACCATTTAATCCGAAAAAAACATAAACAAATCAAAACACTGTGAATTATTAGGGGTCATGTGATTTTGAAATGATGATGTTTTTTTGGTTTTTTGGTTTTGTTGTTGGTCGATCCATATAATCATACAGCAAGCAAGCATGTTTTTGTTATTGTTATTTTTTTGATAATTCCAAAGAGAAAAAAAGAAAAACCAGAAAAAATATTATGTGCCTTTTTGAAGATTTTTTTTCCCGAATAAAAATTTTAAAAAATAAAAAGTAAATATTTAAACACACACAAATAATTATCATCCAAACACACATTACACTTGTCAAAGATGTTTACATTTTCTTAATTATCCTTTTTTTTCTTTAAAAAAATAAAAAAATTTTTATTAAAAGAAAGATAAAAAAAAGTGAATGACATTACAAAAAAAAGGTCGCAGAAATTAATAACATTCTTATAAATCAGAATATTCTTATAAATCAGAATCTTATCGCATCGCATAGCAAAAAAGAGAGCAACAAGTTTACTTTTACTTGACATTTCGAAAATACAGATCATCCATCCATCCATCAATCAATTGCGAGTTAAAAGTAGAATTTCATTTTACGCGCTTGCGACAAACTTTATTCGTTCGTTTGTTAGAAAATTATCGTTGTTTCTTTTTTGGTCGATTTTTCATTCTCCATCCGTATCAAGGTTAATTTTATTTCGGTGTGTGTAAGTGTGTGTCATTCAAAATTCCGGTAACAAAAGAAAAGTTTTACAACAAACAAACTACATCATCAAAATTCATTTTTATTCGGTTTTGATGATGATAATCATGGCCAACCATGGTTTTGATGAATGGTAAAATTTTTGTAGTTGTAGTGAAACCACAACCACCACCACCATCAAAAAAAAATTTATTATCATCATCATGATAATTGAGTATTCTTCCATTCTTTTCTTTTTTATTTTCTTTTTGTTCTCACTATATTCCTATTCCAATTCTTACTTACTTTTTACAATATCATCAACAACGCCACCGCCACCAACAACAGATCAAATTTAATGGTAAAATTGTTATCTTCTTCATTAAACAAAAAAAATAAGAATTTTTCTTGTTTTTTCTTTAAATAGCAATTTTCACCCCCTCTCTCTCTTCCCACGTATTTTGTTGTTGTACATCGGTTTTGTTTTGTTTTTTGTTGTTCAAATGATAAACATTAATCAAGTTTGGAAAATTCGTTAATTACGATAAATGAATCGTAAATGTTGATTGAGATTGAGAGAAAGGGATAAATCATTTCATTTTGCTGAATGGCTATCGATTCAAGATAATAACAACAATGGTTGATACGAATAAAATTTATGATAATTTTGATGAAACAAAGTCTTCATCATCGTTATCTTCTTCCACATCCACATCTTCATCATCAAAATTATTATCATCATCGTTATTATCAGCGACAACGAAACAACAACAAAAATCCAATTGGCATTATGTAATATCTGGTTTTTTATCCGGTTGTGCAACACGTTTCATATGTCAACCATTAGATGTACTTAAAATACGTTTTCAATTACAAATTGAACCAATATCACGTTCATCATCAATATCAAAATATCGTTCATTAACACAAACATTTTCCTGTATTATAAAGGAAGAAACAGTGTTTGCATTATGGAAAGGACATGTTTCAGCACAAATGTTATCCGGTATTTATGGTAAGTAATTGTTAACTAAATCAAAAAATTCAGAAAATTAAATTTTCATTATTCAATTCAATTCATTCATTCAATTAAAGGGATGGCATATTTTTCATCATTTGAAATTCTTACCCGTTTAACATTAAAATGGCTAATCGATCATGAAGAAATTATTTCACATAAATATGTAATGCAATCACAACCATTAGTACATTTTATTTGTGGTAGTATGGCCGGTTTTACTGGTACATTATTATCACATCCATTTGATGTTATTCGTACACGAATGGTATCACAATCCGAACCGAAAACTTATCATACAACCGGACAGGCATTTATGACTATTGCAAAACATGAAGGACGTGTTGGTTTATATCGTGGTTTTCTACCAACATTAATGCAAATAATGCCATTTTCTGGTGCACAATTTGCAACATATAATATATTTAAAGAACGATGGCAACAATATTATCATGCTGATCATTTAGCAATAAATATTGGCTATAAACATGGCCATGAAATTCATATACAATCAAGTTTTTTTTGTGGTGCATTATCCGGTATGGTAGCAAAATTTTTAGTATATCCATTAGATTTGGTTAAAAAACGTTTACAAATACGTGGTTTTGAAACTGGAAGAGGTAATAAGTTTGGTAAAACTGTTCATTATGAAGGTTTTATACATTGTATTACACATACAATACAAACGGAAAATTTGGCCGCTTTTTATAAAGGTATGATACCAAGTATTTTTAAATCAACATTATCAACAGCATTACATTTTTGGCTATATGAATCGTTGGTAAAAAAACTTAATAATTCCGATTAAAAAAATGCTCAAAACAGAAAATATATATTTACCGGTGTAAATTTGATGGTCAAAGATTTTTATTGTTGTTGTTGTTCACTCTTCATAATTGTGATTTTTGAAACTTTTTTTTTGATTCATTCATTCATTCATTCATTTTTTTCTATCATTTACATATACAACTTCAAATGGCAGAATATCAAAAAGGATCCAACTTACAATTTATACATTTTTCATTTGTTTCTTTTTGTTTATTTTTTTTTTGTAGATTCATATAAATTTCATGTTGTTAAATCTTTTTTTGTTGTTGTTGTTGTTGGGAAGGCTGTGTGTGATTGTTGATGTGATTTTTGTTATTTATAATTCATTAAAAATTCATTGACATTTGATAATAAAAAAAAGTTATTTTTACAAGAAAAAGAATCTTAATTTAAAAAATCGAACGTTTCTGTTTTTGTTGCTGAAAACATCTCCGACCAATGTAGATGGCAGCACGGTGTCCATTTTGAATTTTTTCAAAGAAAATCAAAATTTTTATTTAAATTTTTCAAAAAACAAACAAACAAAAACAAAACAAAAAACAAAATCAATATTTTGTTTAATCAGATTTTTTTCTTTAAAGTTCACCGTTTCATTATCGAAAAATATAGGTACTTTTTTTCAATCGATAATGCTAAATAAATGCAGGGGAAATTTTCATTTTTTCTGTTTTGGTTTTGGTTTGTCGAATTTAAATATTGAAAGAAAAACAAAATTTAAATTTTTTTAATAATGATGATATTTTGTGGCCAAAAAAAGAATTTAATCAAAAAAAAAAAGAATCATTAACATAAAGATTACATTTCTTTTTGCGTAGTTTTTTTTCCAATTTGAAGCAAAAATCATTCAGACAAAACCAAAAATCAAAACCAAAGAAATCTTCATTTGACAATTTCATTTCGTCAACAGACTTGTGAATGTCAACATTACAGCAGTAAGCAACAATAACGGAAAAACAGCAGTAAGCAACAATAGCGAACCAAGATGGTTGACGAACTACGTTTCTATTATCAAATTCGTCGATTAATAACCGATAACCGTTATCGACGATTGCATCGTTATGAAACCATACTAATATGGATTGAATTCATACGTTTTGCATCATATTTATTATTCTGTTATACAGATATTCGATTGTTTCAAACATTTGCACCATATGATCCAACCATACAATATATATTTGGTGATTTACTTTATCAAACCAAAACCGAAACAACAAAAAATCCATTCGAAACACATCAGGATATTTTACGTTTAATTACATTCATAATGACTGTTGGTATATTGTATATTATACAAAGTCAATATGTTATTTATTTTAATGATTATCAATTGATTGGTTTTCAATCGGTTTATGATCTAACTGTTCGTAATATGGACGTATATCGTAAATGTTTATTACATCCATATCGAACTGATAAAAATTGGTTTAAACATTTATCATTTTGGTCATTTATACGATCATTATCGATGAAAAATCATTCTAATAACAATAACCGATCATTAACATTGAAACAATTATTAAGTATAAAATATTTAACCAAACATCTACGTAGGCAAATTATTTATGAACATTTTCGTCGTATACGTATGAAAATCATACCATATATATCGGGTGAACATAAATTACTGTTGATTTTGTCCACTTTGATCATACATGATTATAGTTTATTCATACATACAATATCAACGATTGCTATATTGAATTTTTGCTGTCTAAGTTATATCCGATATTTGATTGATAAAATTGATAATTTTTTCATACCATATCGTTCGTTGAACATCCTAATAATATTATCCGATTCTGCATTACATTTTTCGATTGCACATATTCTGATTCGTAATTCAATTATCTATTTAAATATGGCAACAATATCACAAATATATCTACTGAAACGTTTGAAATTTCTAAATCAATTAATGTTTCGTTTAGCTGAAAGGCAATGTAAAAAATATTATATGAATCGTTTGGATGAATTTCTTTACAGTCAATATCGACAACAAATTACCTATATTTGTCGTATGATTGGTAATAGTAATGGAACAATATGGGCAAATGTCATCCTGTTTGCATTGTTCAGTAATCTACCGATTAATATTATAGCCATTTACCGGGTATTATATACACCGATGAATATGGAAACATTAATGATACATATTGTATTTATTAATTTACAAATCAGTACTATAATGTTAACATTATTTCCAATGACCAAACAAAATAAAATGATGCATCAAGGTAAACATTATTTACCACGTATACAAATATCATTAAAACGTTCACATCAATATAATATGAAAATTAAAACATTAGAATTATATGAACGTTTAACTAGTTCCAAGCAACAATTTGGTTTCAGTATCGGTCAGATTCATATTATTAATTTGAAATATTTTGTCGAGGTAAATTCTTTCTTTGATTCCATTTTTTCGACATTTAACCGGCGGTTTTTCTTTCTTTCCATTTTCCCCCTGTTACATACAGATATTCATGTCATACGTTGGTTTAATACTGGTCATGTTTAATTTTCTATCAAAAGTTTTAAAATTATAAAACAGAAACAGGAAAAAATTTAATCCTTTCCCCACCACTAATTAACACAAGAATTTAACACACACACACACTGAAAACACACACTTGAACCGCTTATTGTGTCATTCGTATCATTTATGTTATTAAAAAAAAATTTCATTATTCTCGGTGCTTGTTTGTTTGTTGTTTGATAATTGATGCAAAACGGCTTATATATCGTATATTATAAATAGAATTTTCATCCGAGAAAGAAGAATACAATGTTGAATGGTGGTGGTGGTGTTTATTTTTTTTTTGTTTTGTGAAAATGATGATTTAGAAATTGATGCGCTAATGAATGAATGTTGTTTGCCAATTTTTTTTGTAATTTTGTTTGTTTGTTGTTTGCCAGTTCTTCTTCTTCAGTTTTTCTAATTTGCATAATATTTTTACAAACGAAAAAAAGTTCCTGTGTGTGTAACAAATTTTTAAATCTTTCGGTTCTTTGAATCTTTCTTTCTTTCTTTTTTGCCGTGGATTAACCGCAAATTTTTATTCGTTTTTTTTTGTTGTTGGTTCGGCTTCGATGATGATGATGATGATTTTATGCTCTAGATTTTTATTTTTATCAAGAAACATTTGTTGATGGGATGATTGTCATATTCTTTGATGATGATAATAATAATAAACGATTCGGTCGGCTAACAGGAAATACCTATTCTGGTTGATTTTTTTTTCGAAATCCTGGTTTGATTCAACAAATAAATCTTTTTTTCCATAATGGCTTCGAATATTGCATCACCACGTTCGGCATTTATGACAACACCAAAAGCACCGCCACGTTTTCATCGAACTACCGGTATTGGTGCTCGTCATAATAATCCATCATCACCACGTTTTACAAATTATCAATCATTTCGTAATGCATTATCATCGAATTCAATGTTTGTTGTTGATCCAAAAACATTCGCTACACGTTTATTAGTAAAACCAAATTTTGATCAAGTACTTGAAGGAACCAACACCAGATTAGTACGATTTTATGTTTGGCTTAAACGTTTAAGTGAAAGTTGGTTTACACATTTATTCTTATTGATTGCATTAATCCTTTATGCATGTCTTGGTGGTGCAATTTTTTCTACAATCGAAGGAAATCATGAAAAAGAAGAAAATGTAAGTATAATGATTTCGAATGAATGAGCAAAATAAAATATATTTACAAAACTTTATCAAAAGGCAATCATCAGACAATTATATGAACCAATCGAACAAATGACTGATACAATTGTTAATGAATTATGGCGTCAACGTCAACATTTTCCCTTGCCAATCGATATTGATGATAATGATAATGGAATGAATCAACAAAAACGATATTTTGTACCAAATATTGATCAATATTGGTATCGTATTGTTGATGATGAATTAGATCGTTTTGAATGGATTGTGAATGAACAATGTTCAAAACGTTTAAATTATTCAATAGAACGTTTTGCTGAAACACATCGTTGGGATTTTATTGGTTCAGTATTTTTTAGTATGACTGTATTTACAACAATTGGTGAGTTTTTTTCCAATGAATTTCCATAAAAATCGGATTGATTCGATTCGAACACAGCATGATGTGATAGTTTTGAATTTTTTTTTGATCAAATCCAGGCACACGAACACATGACACCACAGAATGATATAAATAAATCATTGATGCATGTTTGTTTGTCAATTTTTGGATCGGATTCAAGAAAAATGAAAATTCTATTTTAAATGTTTTTTGTAATTTTTTGCGATCATAAAAATTAATGCATTTTTCGAATGATTCAGCAATTTTTCTATTTTCACCTAATTTACTAAATTTAGTGTAATTAAGTGTAAATAGCAAGAATTTTAATTGGAATTCCATTCCGTTTTTGTTTTGTTTTGATGATTTTCATCGAGGGCAAAAAAAAAACTAAATTAAGAAACTTTTCTCCCATCGATTCTATAGGTTATGGTGATAATCCACCAGTAACAACATTGGGTAAAACAGCTGCAATGATTTATTCATTTTTTGGTATTCCACTTTTATTAATCGTATTAGCTGATTTTGGTCGAATATTTACTCGAATAATTAAATATTTAATTATGTCTTGCCGCCGGGTTTATTATGATCGTTCACTGCGTTCAGTACGACATATGGGTCGTAAAGCAACACGTACAGCAAAAATTCAACATGCAATAATGGATGCATTGAATAAAATACAACGACAACCACCATTTTTTATTGATTCAAATACTGGAAAAGTTTCAATGTTACCACCACCGGAAATATCCAAACCAATAAATCTACAATCAACAACAAATCCAATGTTATCATCATATAGGTCAAATCAAATTCCGATGGTAACTGTTTCATCACCATCATCGCAATCACAATCGCAATCATCGTCGACAATAATGACACCCGAAACACCAATGCCAACAATGTTAGATTTTAATGAAATGGATGATGAATTCAATCTGCCAATATCATTAGCATTATTCATATTAATATTATATTTATTTTTTGGTGCAATATTATTTTGGACATTTGAAAATTGGACATTATTTCAATCATTTTATTTTGTTTTCATTTCAATGTCAACAATTGGTTTTGGTGATTTTGTACCCACTCAATTCAATGTATTATTATATGCATTTATTTATTTCCTATTCGGTTTGGCATTAACATCAATGTGTATAAATGTTATACAGGAAAAATTATCATCAACATTTGAAAAAGCAAGAATAACAATTGGTGAATCAATTGGTTTGGATCCATCAACACCGATTACCATTATGAATCCAACAGTCAATCCATTATCACAACCGCAACAAGAAACATCATCCAAATCAAGTTCAAGACAAAGTTCACCCGAAAAATTATCATCAATTAAACCAACAACAACAGCGAAAACATCATCTTCACTGAAACCATAAAAACATCAAAACACACACACACAGAAACACATTCTTTTTTCTAGATTTTTATTTGAAAAATTGAAATTCATTTTAGGTTTTTTCTTTTTCTTTTTTTTTTGTCTTTTTTGGCTGTTGATTTTTAATCGGTTGCCGATGGATTATTCGTCGTATCAATACGTATAATACGTATTGAATCACCTTCAACCAACATAACAGCACATTCATTATTATTACCACAATAATGTGAACTAGAAAATATTGTTGCACATTTTTTATCAAAATGAAAAAAGAAACCATTTGTTGGTACTTCATGTGCTCGTACAATATGTGTAAGGCCATTATGTTTAAGAAATTTTGTTGCAGCATCTTCATTAAAAACAAATGCCGTTCCACGTTTACGATTCGGTAAGAATCCTTCTCTAGGATCTTCAACACCATTCATCAGACATGCTAATTCTAAAAATTGTTGTTGATGTATTGGATCAGACCATAAAATTTCCCATGCAATTGGAAATGAATGTTCTGGTTCAGGCATATAATTATCTAAACGTTGTATTTCACCAATTTCAATTGTACTTCGAGGTATACCACCATGTGCACAAAATATTGCTTCATCAATAATAGCACATAATGGTAAACGATCAAACATACGATTAGTTAATTCCCATATTTTACCACCAATTTCTTCACCATATTTTGTTAAACATTCAGCTTTATATGAATAATGTGCTTGTAATGGTCGAACTTCATGATTACCACGTAACAATGTCATTTTGTTTGGCATTAAAATTTTCAAACACATTAAATAAATAACACATTCAATTGACCAACGACCACGATCAACATAATCACCTAAAAATATTAGATTTGCATCAATAGCTGGAAATTGTTTCCAAAGACATTGTTCCAATGTAAGTAAATCATCAATATTACCATGTATATCACCGATAATATATGCAGGTGAATTTACCTGTACACAACGATATTCGGTTTCTAATTGTTCAGCTACTCTTTTTTCCAATAATAATAACCATTCATATAATTGTTGCCATTCTTTATGATTATTAGCCATAAAACCATTCGGTCTTTTAACATCACCTTTAATCAATGAAAAATCTCTTATCATTCGTATTAATGACCAGGCAATATTCAATATTTCAAAATCAACATCATCGGTTTTATGAAATAAATTATTTTTATGTTTACGTTTTGAATTTGATGATGATGATGATGAATATGTTGAACGTGATTTACCACCATCGACACGATGTCGTCGTTTAAATGATCGTAAACGATGACGTGATTCAACATAACCATTACTATCGATACGTAATAAATAATTACAAAGTATCGATTGTTTTTCTTTACAATTCGAACAAATACCGGAATATGCTTCTTCAATTACTGATGACCATTTAAATTCATGTCCACTACGTTTTTTACGTCGGGTAAATATGATATTGGTTATCATTTGAAACACAGGTCGATCTGCACGACATAATTTTGATGTACCACGAAAACGATGACTACCAACAGCACCGACAAATGCTTTATATGATATTCGATTTATATCGGTCATATTTGGTTCCATTGCTTGTAATGTTTCATTTAATTTAAATTCAGCTTCATCACGTTTTAATTTTGGATGTATAGCTGTTATCATTTGACGAATATCATCACGTGTTAGAAAATTACGTTTATGTACATCATAATAACGCATTACAAATTTTGCTCGTACTTCATTATGTATTGAATGACAATCAATACAAGCTAAACCCATTAATAATTCGGGAAATGTTATCGAACCATTTGAATTATAATTGAATGCAAAAAATAAATGCGTTAAACGTTCATCTTCAAATTGAAAACCATATTTAGTCATATAAACACGAAATGAATGAAATGCCATTGCCATTGATGGAAAACAATGATCAAGAAAATCACTATATAAACGTTCAATATCTTTTTCCGATAAATTTGAACTAAGTAACATTGCTTCTTCATCAGTACGTGGTGGATTACGTGGTAAAAATTGAAATGCTGAATCCAAACTATATTCAACAAAACTACTTTTATGACCAGTTGTTGTACTTAAACTACACCAATATGATTTTGATCTATCTTTATGTATATCATCATTATTATTTAAACCTATTGTTGGTGATGGTATCATTGTTGGTGGTGATGTTGTTGTTGATGATGTTGATGATGATGATGATTGTATATGTAACCGGTAAAAATCAATCAACTCTGGTCCCCACATATATTCCAATGTACCGGAATCAAGTTTATTTTCATCAACCCAAATTAATGAATCATTATCCTGGCAACATTTAAAATTTGATTTTGAATCCAATTTTATCATCCATGTAATACGATTAATCAATTCTAATGTTTGTGGTAATTGTATAGCAGCAACTTCAATAATCCAACGATCTTGAAATGGTGGACGATTTTTCAATTGTACAAATGTATCCATATCACCATTAGATAATACAATTAGAAGACCAGCAAGACCACCTTCATTCCAACTTTTATTCATTGGCATTGGCATAAATGGCATCCAAACTGCTTGTCGTATGGATGGTTTTGTTAATGCAATTTTACGATGTTGTATACATTGTATAAAAAATACTGAACAACTATAACGACGATCAATTGCTGTTGATTGTTGTTGTTGTTGTTGATCAGATAAATGTACATTTAAACCACTTGCAAATGGTAATGAATTATCATTATATTTATCTGATGTTGATGTTACATCCATGCTACGATTATTTTTATCCATTGTTGTTGTTTCACGTGTACGACGACTTTTTGTTGATTTTTCTATTGTTTGATTATTATTATTTGTATTTGAATTTTGTTGTTGTTGTTGTTGATGATGATGATGATGGTGATGATGATGATGACGTTTACTTTTTGAACGTGTATTTTTACTATTACTATTATTTGCCATTCGTAAACGTGAACGTGATCGTAATGATGTTCCGGAACGTGTACTTCTTATACTTTTTGGTCGATTGTTTGATGATGATGATGATTGTGGATTACTGGTTGATGTTGATGATGGTAATGGTAATTGTTGTTGTTGTTGTTGAATCTGTGTATATAATGGATGTTCAAATGGTAATATTATATTCGATAAGGATGAACCAATCATTTCAAACATTTCTTTAAATCGATCATTTAGATTGTCCATTTGTTTTTTTGAAAAAATTTTCGTTTTTAAAAAAAAACACTAGAAAAAATAAAAGAAAATAGAAAAAATCATTTCATTTGAATATGGCAATAATTTTTGGTTATAAATTAAAATGAAAATTATTGTTGTAAAAGGAATAGAACTTTACTTAGTAATAGAATTTCCTTGTGTTACAATAATAGTAATTTAATTTGATTTACGGTTTTCGTTTGATTTTGTTGAAATTTCCTTCCTCATCGCACGTTATTTAGTAGTAACGTTATAAAGTTGTTTGATCAAACATCAGATGGTGATGATAAATGATGGCCGGATCTTATCATCGTCGTTTGCCATTGTTTGTTGCACTTGTTGTTGTTGTCGTTCGAATTGTTGATTCGAATGATGATTCTTGGAATCGTTTTTCAAAGATTTCCAATCATGATTTTCAACGAATATTTTTACCAAATTATCTTGATGATTTAATGATTTTTAAAAACAATAACAGCGATTTAATTGATCAAAAATGTCGACAAGATTTACAATCAATACTAAATGAAATGATTTATAAACATAAATTATGGGCAACAAAAATATTCAATTCATGGTCACCAACATTAGTATCAAGTGGATTTTTATCCGGTACTATAACCGATTATGGTGATTATGATCAATGTTTACATATTAATGACATTAATTATCGACATCCGATTCAAACGGAATATTGTTTGCTGGAATTCGAATGGCCAATATCATCAAAACGTCCATTTAATCATAATGTTTATCATCAAACCATTATTATGTCATCGAACGATAATGATGATGATGAAACTATTTACACCCAATTGGCTCGAGAATCATCAATTTTTTATTATTCATCAATCGTTCGAGGAATTTGCCTACCAAATTCTTGTACAAAAAATATAAATTTTTTATTACAAAAAGAAATATTTGGTTTTAAATTACAAAGAATTTCTTGTTATCATAAACCCGAATGGCCATTGAAACCGAATATCATACAATCGATTGCAATGTAATCTTTGTTTTGTAAATTTCATTCTTTTTAAACAAGTTTTTTATCAATTACAGATTTACAATTGGTCTGATCATTTCGATTACATTTGTGGCTGGTTTATATGATTATTTGGTTAAAGATAAAAGTAAGTTTTGCTTTGAAAACAAAAAATATTGTTGAATTTTTCTTTTTTTTCTTTTCGAAAAACGACAAAAACCGCAAAGATGGACATTCGATCGAACGAATATTGCTTTGTTTTTCTCCAATGGCAAATTTTCGTTCATTGATTCGAATGAAATCAATCAATCAAACAACAACAATCATCAACGCTGATGGTAATGATCTATCATTTATCGATGGATTACGTTTCTGGTCAAATGTTTGGATTATCATTGCGCATACATTTGTCTATGAAGATTGGAATTCTTACAGTAAGTGTTTCATGAAAAATATCTCTGAATGATGATAACTATGGTGTTTTCTGTATGATTTTCAAGAAAATATATTCGAAGCAAATGAAAAACTTAAATCACCAATCATACAATCGCTGATGCAATTTATTAATCCGGTTGATGTATTCATATTTATTGGTGGTTTTATGGCCAGTTATACAACATTAAAAAATCATATCCGAAATAATGATGATGGCAACGGTCAAAAAAAATTCAATCCAATCATCTATATAGGTTTTCGTTATCTACGATTTACACCACAATTAATTATCTATATTTTATTATCATTTCTTTTGCCATTAATGGGTTTTTGGCTGAATGGACCACTATGGTCAAAACGTATCGAACAAATTGAAATGAAATGTTCGAAAACATGGTTGTATAGTTTGATTTATGCGCAGAATCTAATCGAACCGGAAAATATGGTAAAAAAATATTTTTCATTAAAAATCGATTTTATTGATGAATTTTTTTTTTAAATTGAAAAACAGTGCGGTGGACATACATGGTATTTGGCTGTCGATATGCAATTACGTTTACTTTCAATCATTCCATTATGGTTTTTTGTAACTGGAAAAAATTCTTCCAAACAAGGATTAACAATAACAAAAATTCTGGTATTAATTTCAATCGTAATAACTTCGTTGCATATTTTTATCAAAAAATTACCACCAGGTTTAATTTTAACATCATTAAGGTAATTCTGATCAATCTGATATAATCAATTTTCATTCATTCTGATTTTATTTTCCTCTCAAGTGACTTCGAAGGTTTCAATTCGAATCCAATCGTCAATGAATTTGGTAGATTTTTTCAAATCTATTTCAAACCATGGAGCCATTCATTCATTTATTTTATTGGTTTTTGGTATGGATCAAGGAAAATTTTTTCAAATAAACAAAAATATCCACAATCAACAACATGGTCAAAAATGAAGATTATCATAGCTTTAGCTATCATATGTATTGGTTATATATTCTGTACATTCAATACATTACCATGGTTTTATGGTCGACCATATAATCGATTTTGGTCAGCCATATTATATCCATTAAATCGTATAATATTTACGATAATTTTAGTAATTCTATTTGAATTATGTTTGAATAATTCTGATTCAATTATAACCAGATTTTTACGTTGGCCATTATTTTCAATACTATCACGATTAACATTTTCTGTTTATCTTAATCATATGCTGGTGATTAATATTTTAATTAGTTCAAGACGATTATTAATCGATTTACAATTAATATCGATTATAAGTTTAATATTTATAAATATAATTTATTCATATTTATTTGGTTTTATATTTACAATATTAATCGATTATCCTTGTATGAATATTTTAAAACAGATAAAAAAATAAAAATTTTATTTTTTTAAAATTTTTTAAAATTACAAGTTTCGTTTTTCGTTTTATAACCATTGAAAACCAATTCGTTTGACGCCTTGGAAATTTTTCTAATCTTGTTAAAGCGAGATTCCTCAAGGGTTGACAATATTTGGCCAATTTTTTTTAAAATGGTAATCACCAATTAATGGAGATGTTAGTTCTTCTGACCAACAATATATGAAGCGTAATATCTTTTCCAGAAAAAAAATCTGGAATTCTCGACAAGATTTTAGGTCACAACGCCATCTCACTCCATCCGAAAAAGAAGAGAGCTTCATTATTAAGTGTTTGTTTTTACCACATTTTTTGCAAAAGGCACTTTTCTTGAAAAAACTTTTAAAACAAATCGTGTAGAAAGTATTCGAAAATATATTTTTCTTTTATTTTAAACAAACAAACACGCTGCCCGAAGGCAAAAAAATTAATGTAGAAAAAAAAAGAAAAAAGAAACAAATAGAAGCTATAGATGTGATAGCCCAAATACCTAGATTATCTAAATAACTAAATATATTCGAAAATTCGAATTCGAAACTGTTACAAATTACATCAAATTACAACATGTTTACAATATTGATGTTGATCGGCTATTCGTTATTCAATTTTTTTTCGATTTTAGAAAAATTACAAGTATTTTTTATAAAAAAAAAGATTCATATTTTATTTAAAAACATTATTTTAAAAGAAATTATGCCAAATTTGTATTGTATATAATGAATTCTCCATTTTCCCAATTTGTCATTGGGTGATATTGGAAACAATGTACATTATTGATTATTGTTTCAAATAGTTTTTTAATGATTTCATCATTCGTAAATACGAATGTGTAATCGGTATTCAAGGAAGGAATATGAATTTTCATCTTCCTTTCTGCCATAGATGATATATAACTTATCGTATTTAATTCTACGATTTTCAATTCATCTCTGATTGATGGATGATAATTATATGTATGTTGGAATAAAAAAAAGGCATAATCACAGCCATTTTTTGGCCATTTTGGTATATTGATCAATTGATCAAATAATGGTTGTGGCCAAAAAATCTGACCAATGTAGAAAATAAAATTTACCATTCGACCATGAATAAATTTGATTATTTTGATCATGATTTAAATAATTTTCATATACTTGAACCGTGTCCCATGCTCGTTTGTTGTGCAAATCTTCAATTGTAATTTTCATTTTTGGTTTTAAGATTCGATTTGAATGCTTAAAAGTTTCGGAGTGTTTTTAAGACGAAAAAAATTTTATTAAGTCTTATCGGAAATAAAGTTTGTTTTGAATCGTTAATTGACGAATCCACTTCATCGACAATACAAACAAAATCAGATTTTGGCAAAGGTTCATTATTTGATGATGCAACAGAAGCATATGTTCTTTTGTTTGCACGTTCTTTAGTCAATTCTTCCACTTTCAACTGTAACTCTTTCTCAATAACGGATTTAGCATCTTTTTCCTTCTTTAATAGATCATTAGCCAATTTATTTTCTTTTTTCAAAGCACTTATTAGTGTTTCAGTAAACTTATGAAAATCACGATCAATTGCTTTAAATTGTCTTGACAATCCAATGATGAAAGACTCATAAAAAATGGAAAACTTACTGAAATCGTCCTTATAATTGTTAATTCCCGTATCGGAATAATGATTTGAAATGAATGAAAATATTGCTAAATTTATAACATTGATTATTTGTTACAGAAAAACAATATTCATTTAATTGTTTTTCAATTTCCTTTTGTTTACTTTTTTGTTTTTAATTTCATTCAATTAACAAGTTTTTATAAGGAAAAACATGGATAAATAAAAATTTTTATAAAATCAGAAACAGAAATACGAAAAGAATGAATAATTTTCATTTGTAACTTTCAAAATCTTTATCGAAATCCATCATTTTCTCTGTTTGAATATTCACTCTGTTTTGTTTTTTTTTTTTGGAAACGGAATTTAATTTGACTTTACGGAATAAAATTTCAAAACACACGTTTTAATTTTTGAATTTTTTTAGCCGTTCATATAGGACGAGACCGAAAAAAGTTCAACGGTTTTTTTTGTTTTTGTTTACAAATTTTTCATCAATAGATTGGATTTTATAAAAAGTTTGATTTTATTTTTCGATTGAAACAATCATGTTGATACGATCTCGTCTACGTTCATCATCATCATCATCGAATTCAGAACGATCAACAATTTTAGATCAACATTCATTTTCATGTTCACCATCAACATCGGATCATTTGCTTGGTGAATGTTATCTTTGTGGTCAACAAAATGATTGTGAAGGACAACGGCAATTATTAACATGTTCAGTTTGTGCAACACAATTTCATCTGAAATGTTTAGATATTAAATCGGNATATTTTATTTAAAAAATTTAATTAAAATTAGTATTATACATAATGATTGGTCCATTTTGATAATCTGTATTTGGATGGAATTCAAAACATGGAATTAAATTGATAATACTTTCATATAAACTGTAAACAATTCTTTTGCTTGAAAAACCGAATGTATATTCGGTATTTAGATGTGGGATTCTTAGATTAATCACATTATTTACAGATACTATGTAACTGATTGTGTTTAATTCAATTATTTTCAATTCTCTATCAAATTGATCGTATGTTGGTATGAAAAATGCATAATCACAGCCATTTTTTGGCCATGGTATGTGGATCAATTGATCATATAATGGTTGTGGCCAGAAATCTGACCAATGCAGGAAATAAAATTGACAATTGGACCATGAAAAAATTTGATCCTGATTTAAATGATTTTCACATACTTGAACGGTGTCCCATGCTCGTTTGTCTTGCAAATCTTCAATTGTGATTCGCATTTTTGTTTTTTGGTTTTGGTTTAGTTATAGATTTGAAATTTATAAGTAAGATTCGATTTAAATATGCTTAAAAGTTTCGGAGAGTTGGAAAGACAAAACAATTTTATTAAGTCTTATATCGGAATAATGATTTGAAATGAATGAAAATATTGCTAAATTTATACAGAATAACATTGATTATTTGATTGAGAAAAACAATACTTAATTGTTTTTCAATTTTCTTTTTTGTTTTTAATTTCATTTGATTAACAAGTTTTTTTAGCAAAAAAAAATTATTAAGGAAAAGGAATAAGGAAAAAGAGACAAATATCATTGGAGAAAATGACAACCGCAGAACCAATTTGATTATCAAGTTTAGAGCTTAGAGTTTATATTATGAATTGACCATTGTCCAAATCAATAAATGGATGATATTCGAAACATGGTATTAAGTTTATGATGCTTTCGTATAAACTGTAAACAATGCTCTTGTTAGAAAAACCGAATGTATATTCGGTATTTAGTTGCGGTATTCTTACAGTAATCACATTATTTACAGATATTATATAACTGATTGTATTCAATTCAATTATTTTTAATTCGCTTTCATATTGATTGTATGTTGGAATAACAAAAAGCATAATCACAGCCATTTTTTTTGCCATATGGTATATTGATCAATTGATCAAATAATGGTTGTGGCCAAAAATCTGACCAATTTTTTTTATTAAACAAAGAAAAGAATCCTATACCACCAAAAATCTGACCAATGTAGAAAATAGAATTTACAATTCGATCATGAATAAATTTGATTATTTTGATCATGATTTAAATAATTTGCATATACTTGAACAGTATCCCATGCTTGTTTGTTTTGCAAATCTTCAATTGTGATTCTCATTTTTGGTTTTAGTTTCAGATTTGAAATTGATTTCGATTGATAAGTAAGATTCGATTTGAAGATTTTCTCAGTTTGAATATTTCTCTCAGTTTTTTGGAAACGGAATTTAATTTAACTTTACGGAAAAAAAAATTTCAAAACACACGTTTTTATTTTTGAATTTTTTTAAGCCGTTCATATAGGACGAGACCGAAAAAAGTTCAACGGTTTTTTTTTGTTTTTGTTTACAAATTTTTCATCAATAAATTCTGATTGGATTTTATAAAAAAAGTTTGAATTTTTTGTTTTTTTTTCGATTGAAACAATCATGTTGATACGATCTCGTCTACGTTCATCATCATCATCATCGAATTCAGAACGATCAACAATTTTAGATCAACATTCATTTTCATGTTCACCATCAACATCGGATCATTTGCTTGGTGAATGTTATCTTTGTGGTCAACAAAATGATTGTGAAGGACAACGGCAATTATTAACATGTTCAGTTTGTGCAACACAATTTCATCTGAAATGTTTAGATATTAAATCGGAAAGATTTTTGGATACAAAATCACCGGCATATAAACAATGGGTTTGTCGAAAATGTCGTCGATGTTTATGGTGTCGTGAAAAACGTACAAAAATGAATCCAAATCCATTGCTATCATCGTTAAGATCACATCCAGAACGAAAATTAAATTCATTAGAAATGATTTCCTGCGTTGAATGTGATCGATCAATTCATTTAACATGTTTTTTTCGTCTACAAAATGATCAATTAACATCGATTTCAATTCGTGAATTACGTAAACGACGTAAAAATTTTATCTGTCCACATTGTACGGGTGAAGCCGAAGTTGAAAACGACGACGACGACGATGATGAAGAAGAAGAAGAAACAAACGAAGATGAAGAAGAAGAAATTGAAGATTCTTCCGAAGATGGTGATGAAGATGCTTCAAGTCAAAGCGATAGTGATGATAGTGATGATGATGATGGTAATCAACAATCCAAATTGACAAAACAACAAATTCTACAGATACAGCTGCGAAAATTAGGTATCGATAATCCTGATGAATTGATTGAAAAAATCCAAAATGAACAATCATCGATTACGAGACGTTCAACACGACATCGAACACAACAACAACAATTGCCAACAACAATTATGAATAATGACGAAATTCATAGTAAATCGAACGAAACGATTGAGGAAAAAAATTCCGAACAATTCAATCAAAAACATAGAAATTTGAAACGAAAAAAATTCGAATCTGAGCAGCCACAACAACAACCGCAATCGTTGATGACGAAAAAAATGAAATGCATTTCACCTTCACCATCAAACACGATAGCATCATCTTCGAATGATGAAGAGATATTATCATCATCCATATCAACATCATCTCAACAATATTTTTATCAAGAAAAACCAATTACAAGATGTTCAATAACGGGTTGTAATTCTAGTGGACATTTATCCGGTATTTATGATCAACATTCATCCGTAGAAACATGTCCATTATATCATAATCAAACTTTGGATGATTGTCAACAACGTTATAGAAAACGTATTGAAAAACAACAACAAGAACAACGTAAATCACCAAGAAAATCTACTCAACAACAATCGAGTCTATTACAACAGAAAAATATTAAATGGAATCAGATTATGAATCAAAGAAATGTTGAGCTTAAACAGTTGCAAACTGAAACAAAATTTTCGTTTACATCAAGGTTTGTGTTTTGTTTTGAGTTTTGAATTTGAATTTTGTTAATCTTCTTTTTTAACATAGTCGCCAACCGAAACTCGAAGGTCTAACACCGAAATTTGATTTAAATCTTTTTCTTGATGCACAAGCACGTACTGCACAAATGATACATGAAAATTCTGCATCCGAATTATCTGAAACAATAACGGATTCGAATGAAATAAAACATGAAACAACTGTCGATGATAATCAAGAAATTCAAACGAAGAAAAAACCTGGAATCGAAAAAATTATTTTCGGTCGTCATGAATTAAGTGTTTGGTATAATTCACAATATTCGGATGAATATCAAAATTGTCAACGTCTTTTTATATGTGAATTTTGTTTAAAATGTATGAATTCATCAATCATATTGAATCGTCATATGGAAAAATGTTCATTGAAACATCCACCTGGTAATGAAATTTATCGTAAAGGATCGATATCATTTTTTGAAGTTGATGGTAATAAACAAAAAGAATATTGTCAAAATCTATGCCTTTTAGCGAAATTGTTTCTGGAATATAAAACATTATTTGTTGATGTTGAACCATTTTTATTCTATGTTATGACGGAAAATGATCATCTTGGTATGCATTTATTGGGTTATTTCTCGAAAGAAAAACATTCACCAAATAGTTATAATGTATCATGTATATTAACATTACCACAATATCAACGTTCTGGTTATGGTCGTATGTTGATTGATTTTAGCTATTTACTTACACGTTGTGAAAATAAAATTGGTTCACCCGAAAAACCATTATCCGATCATGGTATTATATCATATCGTAGTTATTGGAAATTTATTATTATGAATTATTTAAGTTCGTTTGAAAATAAAGAAATTCTGCTTAAAGGTAAGTGTTGATTGATTTTCAAGCAAATATTCTGATTGTTTTTGCTTTTCTGAAAACAGACATAAGTCAACAAACTGGTATCAATCCTGCCGATCTGGTATCAACATTACAATTAATGGGTATATTAAAATATTGGAAAGGAAAACATCTGATATTGATTAATGATGAACAAAGAAAACGTTTTATACAAGAAATTAAACGTAAACGTAAATTATTTGGTGATAAATTTATTGATATAAAATGTTTACGATGGAAACCATCGATTTATCCAAGATAATTGATTTGTTTTCTTTCTTTTCTTTTTTTTTATCTCATTATTTATGTGAATTACATATTTGTTGTTTTTAAAATAAAATTCGATTTTGATTTTCAGAGTTTTTTTTTGTTTCGTTTTGATGATTTTCACCACAACAACAACAAATATGAAGGGTATGAAATTTGATAAAGAATGTTTTTTATCATCCATTCGATGATACCGATTTCGACCTTGATGGTCGAATCATGTTATTTGAGATATCGAATGATCGGTATATATATATGCATATACTTGAACAGTACTTGAACAGTACTTGAACAGTACTTGAACAGTTATATATAAAGAAGAACGAACGAATAAAAATCAAATTTCATACTCCTTTTGCATAATAATAATAATTTTCTTCTCTAAAAACTTGTTTTGTTCAATTAGATCCGATAATTTGTGAAATAATCATGACTACACCATCGATTGACGTTAAATTTACCAAGGTATTTTGAAGCTGTTTTATGTTTGTTTTTTGTAATCGATCGATTTTTTTGTTTGATTTTTTCGTTTGTTAAGATTTTCATCAACAATGAATGGCATAATTCATTGAGTGGTAAAACATTTGCAACCATAAATCCAGCTACTGAAGAAATAATAGCCTATGTTCAAGAAGCTGATGAAGGTGATGTAGATTTGGCTGTAAAAGCTGCTGCCGTTGCATTTCAACCATCTTCAAAATGGCGTCAAATGAATGCATCTGAACGTGGACAATTAATACAAAAACTTGCCGATCTTATTGAACGGGATAAAGATTATTTAGCTCGATTAGAAGTATACGATAATGGTAAACCATTGGCAGATGCTTTTGGTGATATTGATGCTTGTATCGGTACGCTTCGTTATTATGCTGGTTGGGCGGATAAAATTCATGGCAAAGTAATACCGGCTGATGGAAAAATTTTTTCCTATACTAAAATCGAACCGGTCGGTGTTTGTGGTCAAATTATTCCATGGAATTATCCTATGTTGATGATTTCATGGAAATTTGCACCAGCATTAGCTAGTGGTTGTACAATCGTATTGAAACCTTCGGAATTTACACCATTAACTGCATTATATGTTGGTAGTTTGATTGTGGAAGCTGGATTTCCACCCGGTGTTGTTAATATTGTTCCCGGATATGGTCCAACAGCTGGACATGCTTTAGTTCGACATTCATCTGTCGATAAAATTGCATTTACCGGATCAACACAAACCGGACAATCGATTATGAAAACTGCAGCCGAAACATGTAAACGTGTATCATTAGAATTGGGTGGAAAATCACCATTAGTAGTAACGAAAAATTGTAAAGATTTAAAAAAAGCTGCTGAAATTGCACATCAAGCTTGTTTTGCTAATATGGGACAATGTTGTTGTGCTGGTACACGAACATTTGTTCATGAATCTATTTATGATGAATTTGTTAAAATGGCTGCCGAAATTGCTGGTAATCGTATAGCAGGTGATCCATTTGATTCGAAAACTATTCAAGGACCACAAATCAATACGAAACAAATGGAAAAAATACTAGAATTAATTGAATCGGGTAAAAAAGAAGGTGCACGTTGCGTAACTGGTGGTCAACGTATGTCATGTAAAGGATATTTTATTGAACCAACTGTTTTTGCCGATGTAACTGATCAGATGCGTATTGCAAGTGAAGAAATTTTCGGTCCAGTACAACAAATTTTACGTTATTCATCAATGGATGAAGTAATTGAACGTTGTAATGATACCCGATATGGACTAGCAGCAGGAATCATTACCGAAGATATGAATGAAATGATAAGATTTACTGAAAATATTCGTGCCGGTACAATTTGGGTTAATTGTTATGAAGAAGGTGCAACACAAATACCATTTGGTGGTTTTAAACAAAGTGGTATTGGTCGTGAATTGGGTGAAGATGGTCTGCATTCATATTGTGAAATTAAATCCATTATTATTCGAAAAGAAAATTAAAGTTTAAAATTACATTACATTGATTTTTATTAATCTTTGAATAAAATTTTTTTTATAACAATTTTTTAATTAGTTAGTGGTTGTAATTTGATTTTGTTGTGGTTGTTGTTCAGCAGCTATTGGATAATGTGCACGAAACCCAGGTGGTTTCGGTAATTTAAAACCTTCTTTAGTTTCGAAAAAATTATATGATAAAATAATTTCATTAATATCGAATAGATATGGATCACGAATGAATTCCGGATCAATAAAGAAAAATACAGGCAGATCAACTTCTTCATTAGCATTCAATTGTTGTTCTTCAAAACAAAAACATTGAATTTTATTAAAATATTTACCCGCTTCATATGGAAGGATAGTATATGTAGCAATACCATTAACAGGACGATCAAGTTCATTTTTAGCCGTATAAAATGCTAAAATTGTTTCACCAGGTGAACAAACAACCGATGGTTGACTAGGTTGAAAATTCCATGCTAAACGTGATGATTTTTCGGCTTCAAATTTTACCCTTATTTTTCGATCGGTTATTTTTTTCATATTGGCAACTTTTTCATTAATTTCATCAACTTTGGCAACCGCTTGTAAACCGGTACCAGTTTTTTGACAATATATTCTATATAATGGTACAGCTGCATAGCTTAAACCTAAAAATTGGTGATAATGTTTTGAGATGAATCAAAAACAGAAAAAAAGACATTCAAAACTGACCAAGAACAATAACAACTAATGCTGTAAGCAACATTGCTGTACTACGATTTTTTTCCTGATCAATTGGCCGATATGATCGCCACATGATCATCGTATGATGGATTGGATTTCGAGGATATAGAAATCGATTTGTTAGTCCAAACGAATTCGTTATTCTTGTTTGATGATTGAACATCATCTTCGTCCTCGTCGTCGTCGACATTGAACATTTTGACCATAAAAATGGTGTGATTATTTTCGATTGAAATTGTAAATAATTACTATTGTTTCTCCATAAATGTTGACGACGAAAAACCAAAAAAATTAACTGATAATTCATTGCAAAAAAAATTTAAAAATTTTATAAAAAATTGATCATCACATTCGAACATATCACATGTTTTACATGCGACATGTAATGCCATCTATGATCACTGAAGTAACATAGTTTTTTTTGAATTTTATTTTTAAAAAAATTAAAAATTTGTAATTTGGATTTTTATTTAAAAAGTTTATAACCAAAAGATAAATTACAAGACGAAAAATATTATTTTACAATTATTTTTGAATTTTATACAGGTAATTTTCGTTGTTGGTGCCCGTTTATAATGTCAACAATTTTGTTACAGAATTCCAACCATTTGAATTTGAATTGTCACCATTATTAAATTCATCAAAACTAATACTTTTACTCAATGTTGTAATGGTCGTTCGATCCGATTGATAACCGTACATCGATAATGACGATGATGATGATGATGTGGATGTGGATGATGGTGATTTTAGAAGATAATTATTCTGTTGCCGTCGTGTTCGTCGTCGTAGAATCCAATATAGAAAAATTGTTGTAAAAATTAATGTTATCAATAAGAATATCTGGCCAAAAGTAATGAATAGGACAAACATCCATAATGTATCACATTCGGTTGAATTTTCGGGAAATTTTGTACAATCCATACGTGAAAAATCAACATAATCATTTAATAATTTTCCGGATAAAATTTTCTGTACATTTTCTGGTGTTTCACATTTTTCTGCTGCAATTTTATTGAAAATTTTACGAATTTTCCAATAAAAACAACACATTGGACGATTATAAGTGGTAAGATAATCTTCAATTATTGTTAATGAACATTGCATACCATCATAAAGATCGATTGCACCGGAAAATGTATCAAATATTGATTGATTTGTTGATGTAATTAAACATGTTGTAATGAGGAATAATATTATAAACATTGATGATGATGAGGATGTTGTAACAAGCATTTTGTAATTTACAATTTGTTTGTAATTTTTTCTAAGCAAAAAAAATATTTTTTGGAAACTAAAAAACCCTAAGCGTCATTTTTATATCGATTTTAATCAGTGAAGAATCGCTGATTGTTGAAAGAATTTTCTGCTTGTTTTTTTCTTACCCCAAAAATGATGAATGAAGGAAAACCAAACAGGTAACATCATCCTGACATTGATGCGGAAAATGAAACCTCAAGCGAAGAAAAAGATTTATCAACTAAAGATTTGAGACTTAAGATAAATATAATAAATCTTTCTTTTTCTTTCTTTCTCCAAGATATCTCAAATATATCCATATTTCAATGTCAAAACATTATTCGTTTCGTTTTGTTTGTTGATTTTCATTGACAATGATTTCACTGATGATGATAGGTTCGATGAGGTAACTGAGTGTTAAAGAAAATTTGATGAAATAATTTTTTTTTTGTTTACTTTTTTTTACTGAACCAAAAATAAAAGTGATAAAATTTTTTTTTCTTTTTCAAAAAAACAAAAATTACGAAAACAAAATCTTCTTTCTTTGTCGAATGGTTTCTTTCATCATTTCATTTTGTTTGTGCAATAAAAAAAATCATCATTCGGTAGAATTTCTCTTACAGATCAATTATGATGATGAAACACGATGATTGTGGGGCGACAGACATTGATTAACATTTTTCTCCCCTCTCTTCATCATCATCATCGACAGAGAAATTTCCCGAAAAAAGAAAGAAAAACCAGATTTTCTGGAAACAATTTTTGCGAATAAATAAAAAACAAAAACTAGTTTTTTACCGGTTTTGATTCCGATAATTTTCCAATCAATATTTTTGATCGAAAAAAAGCCAATTTTCTCAATTGATTATTTGTTTATTTTAAAATTTTTTTGAAAATTAAAAATTTCGAAATTTTTTAATAAAACAAAAATTCAGTTACGAAATTCCCAAACATCATCATCATCATGATGAAGATGATGAAGTACAAATTGTACACATATAATGAAATATGCCTTTGTCTTTGTCTTTGTTTTTTCTGTTGGGTATAAACGTTGATAAATCATCATCCATGATTTATCATTATGCGAAAACGGAAAGCCAAATTGACAATTTTGACATGTATGTGTGCGTGTTAAAATAGACGTACATTCATCTATCAATATTTGGCATAAATTGATCTATTGGATGACGTATATACGAAATTTCGTATGATTTTTTCGGTTTTGCTTTGTTTTGGTTTGGTTTGACCATTCCTTATTGAAGAATCAAAACAATAATAAAATGCTGATGACGTTTGGAGAAATTTTCTTGTAAACCAAAAAAATGAATGAATTTCGGGGAAATTTACGAATTGAACATTGTTTTTAGCATTTTGACATTTAAAATGATGATGATAAATCAAAATGCAATCATCAACAACAAAAAAAATTAGACGAAATGTAATGCAATGAAAATACTGATGTAAATAAATTCATTCATAAAGTAATTACTTTATAGTTTTTTTTATAGTTAGTTTTAAATGTAAAACGGAACTTGATGCGTTTAGCCAGATTCTTGTTTTTCTCATTTTCAATCTTTGTTTTTGTTTTTTGTTTTTGCAAAGAATTTACCAAAATTGGTTGGCCATAAACAAGAATGAATATTCTGAAATGAAGAATAATATTCATCAAATCAAATTTATTAGCGGTTAAATTCTGTTGAGGGGTTAAAATTAATCAACCCCGATGCACCAAAAATCATCAACCAAAAGGATTGATGGCTGTGTTGTTCTTGTTGTTGATGGTTAACCATAAAATCCTGTGTAATGAAAATGAAACAATCAAAAATCATTGATTAAAAAAAGACAAAATCATTTTCGAAAAATTCTAAATTTTTCTACAAAAACAGAAACGAACGAAAGAAAGAAATTCTTGCCTGTAGAATTTACATTTGATGTACATAGCCAAAAATGAAACGAAAGAAACATTTCAATTTTTTCTTTTCAAATGTTTGTTTGGCTTAATCTTAATAGTAATTTTTTGTTTTCACTTTTAATTACAAATTATTCTTTGCTTTTCTTGGAACATAAAAAGAATTTGTACCAAACAAAAAATAAAAAATTTAATGCGTTTTGGTTTCAGTTTTCTTCAGTGAATAACTTTCTTATTTATTACTAAAAAAGAAAGAGAGAGAGAGAGAGAGAGAGAGAGAGAGAGAGAGGGAAAGGGTTGACAAAAAGAAAGAAAGAATGAATATTATGGTCAGTTAAATTACTTACTTACTTGCATAATAATAACCAAGTGTACCAATCAAGTGGAAAATTTATTTTCGGTAAATTTTGACAGTGAAAAAAAAATAGATAGATGGAAATTCCGGTGCGCGCATATTCAAAAAACGAAAAAAAGAAATGCAAAAAAAATGCAAATGTGCATGTAAATCAAAGCTTTCTTTCATTCTTGCTGGCTTTTTTTACATGAAAATTGAATTTTTTTTGAAATGAAATAATTTTTTTTCTCTCTCTCTCTCTCTCTCTCTCTCTCTCTCTCTCTCTGGCTTTCCAAAATTCTTGGTATAAAAAGAGTTAATTTTTTGAAAAGTTTCTTTTACCCGATTTTAATCATCAATCTCTAGTTTTCATTTTTTACCGGAAAACTCTGTTTCACTATTGGATTACCCGCATTGATAATGTTTAGTTAATGTTTTTTTTAAAAGTGAATCAGAATTGTTGTTCTCTCATTATTCAATAATCGAAAATTAAATCAAAAAAAAAATTCTTGTTGATTACGACGATAACGAAATAACGATAATCAGAAAACAAAGAAGATAAATTTACCTTGTGTTTCCTTTATCCTCACTTTGCTTCATTGATTGAATCATTTTGGGTAAGTTTGTGTTTTTTTGTTTCATTTTTCCTATGGAAAAAAGAATTTTCTTGAAAATGGCAGTCGTCAAAGGTTTATCTCTGTTAATCTCTCACAATGGAATGAATAAAAATATTAATAAAAAAATGACGACCATAAACACAGATAGCAAGCAAGCAAGCAAGCGAGCTTTTATCTAATTTTTCGTTTTTTTCTTACCGTTTTTTTTCGCAATGAAATTTCATTTAAATATTTACCTAAGAGAGAGAGAGAGAGAGAGAGAGAGAGAGAGAGAGAGAGAATTGAAAAAAAAATAAAAATTTTTTTTCTTTTTTTTTCATACTNTTTTTCGCAATGAAATTTCATTTAAATATTTACCTAAGAGAGAGAGAGAGAGAGAGAGAGAGAGAGAGAGAGAGAGAATTGATAAGAAAATGAAAATTATTTTGCTTTTTTTTCCTTCCTAATTACTATGTTTGTTTGTTTTTTGTTATTGGACAGAATCATTAAAAAAAAGAAAAAAGAAGAAAGGTTATGTTACCTTATTAACCGAATATCATATTGATATTTTGAAATATGAAATAGTTGTTGATTGGTTTTGGTTGGTTGATTATCAGTTTAATTCGGTTTGTCTTTTGGAACAATTCAATTATAAAGGTCAACAAATAGCGAAAGAAATTGTTCGCAAGAACTTTCATGATAAAAAGATTTTACCAAGAAAAAAAAAAGAAGAAACGGTATTTTTTTCAAACAAAATTTCTTGGAAAGTTTTTCTAGTCGTCATCATCATCATCATCACGTGAAACCAATTAATCCAAACAAACAAAACAAAACAAGACAAAACATCATGGAATTAGATGAGATAAATCCTGTTTTAATTTAAAATTTTTTAAAAAAATTCAAATTTAAAATTCTAATTTAAATTTTGAAAAAAAATCAACAAAAAACTTACCCGAGTTTTGAATGAGCAGCAGAATATTCTTCTTATTTATTCATATTGTTCGATTCTATTTCTACCTTTTCAACACCGTTTTCCACTATCGTTATACTAACTGTCATTACAATTATCATTCTTTTATTCTGTTTGTCGCAAATCATCATCATCATCATAATTAATTGAAACATTTGCGACAAGAAGAGAGAGAGGGAGAGAGAGAGAGATTATCATTCCAGTAAAAAATAAAGCAAACAAATAGAATATACGTACGTATGTATGTGTGTTGTGTGCAGGTGTTTTTTCTATGTATTCACAGAATTTCAAAAAAATTTTTTTATAATTCTTACATAACATTTCAGAAAAACTAAGTTTACCTGTTCAGTTTTATTGATTCAATTTTCAACATAGACACACAGACATGACGAATTTAAACCGTCTTTTTTAATGAAAAAAGAATATTCCATTCGTCGGTACGATTCTGTTTGTTATTTTTTTTGAATGTTTACTTTTTTTGAAATTCTTTTCATTAAAAATTTTTTAAAATTTTTTAAATTTCGTCCTGACCCTGTGTTAGCCCAACACTTCATCAAAACATCATCAAACGCCAAACATCAAACACAGGTATATATAAACGGCTACAATCATTGATTTGGACATTTGGAATTTTGATCAGGTGTCGTTTACATTGTTCAATAAAAATTCATTTCACCGATCGACAACAACTACTAAATTAATAGAATCGCAACATCGAAATACTTTGGATACTGTTGTTGTTTTTCCATCCATCACACGACGACGACAACGACGAAAAGATTTTCCGAGTTATAGTAGTAAAAATTTACCTACAAAAATTATCAAAATTACAATAATGGCAATGTTTTTAATGATAATCATTATAATTAGTAGTACATTGTTAATGGCAATGGCTAAAATTGATGATGTTAGAAATTTAAAAGATGATGATTGTATGGATATTGCAATGCGTCCATTACCACGTTTTGGTAAACGTAGTTCGGATTTAAATCGTGGTAAGTTTTTCTGTTTTGTAACTTTTGCAATTTAAAAACTTAGTAAATTTACAAATTAAAAACGATTAATTAATTAATGGTGATGATAAACGATAATTTACAAACTCCAAAAATTTTTACAGAAATTATAAATCGTGTCCGACGTTCTTGTATAATTGATCGACGACAAAGTAAATCATTATCACCTGGATGGAGTACTTTGGAGAATGATGAAAATCCTATGGAAACATCGATACCAGTATCGATACCAATATCGATACCTGAATCGAATCTTTTACAACCGCAACAGCAGCAGCAGCAGCAGCCGCAACCGCAACAATCATTATCATCATCAACATTATTTAAACGTTTTCCATCATTTAAAAATCTATTAGAACAATGGGCATTACAAAGAGAAAAAGAAATTATTTATCAATTGATAAATGAACGAATACAAAATTCAAGATTAGCCAAACAACAACAACAACAACAACAAAATAATGAACAACAAGAATTTGAATGGCCAAAATTTCCATTCGAGATAAATAATTCAAAAAATTTTCAATTAAATAGAAAACTTTTGTTGACAAAATAGAACCAAAAAAAATGCCAAACAAACGAGTCAAACTTTGCAAAGTTATGGGTTCACAAAAACGAAAAAATTTTTGATAAATTCTTCATTATGATTCGAAAAAAATGATAAAAATTTAATCATCATCATCGATCGTTATCATCGTTATCAATCATCCATCATCATCAATTTAGTTATTGATCATTTGGTTCGAAAAAATCTTTTTGGGAAAGCACAAAAAAATTCTTTATATTCGATTCGATTCGAAATTATTATTAGGTGTTTTTTCTTTTGTTGTTGATGTTTTATTTAAAATTAATTCGATTGATTTGTAATTTTTTTTCCCGTGAAAATTAATAAAATAAAAAAAAACTTTAAAAATGAATTTTTAAAAAATTTCTGGAACGAATATTACTGGGCGTTGAATAGGGTGTTTGTTTTCACAACAACCAAACCAAACCAAAGCAAACCAAGCCAAAAAAATTAATTAAAAAACCTAAAAATAACCATAGCGGTAACAAGAAACCAGCAAACAACAAAAAACCTCTTAAATATCCAAGAAAAATAATGATAATGGCCATCAAAGAAAACAACAAAAACAAAAAATAACGGTAATTTTTTTTTCACAAAACGCACTCGATCGACTTGACAATTCTTGATTTGACAACCAAGCAAAAGGAAAAAACATTCCAAACATTTCCTATGTCGATAAAAATAGTGTTCGACTATTTCAACACAAACTAGTCAAAAATTAGATAAACCTCTTAAAGAATTTTACAGAATGTACAGAATATTCTGATTTTGATTAAATAAAAACAAAAAAAAAATTAATTATGAAATTAATTAATTAAAGATGAATCTCATCAACAACAACAACATCGATTGATGGTTTTATAGAAATTCTTTGTTTTTGTTTTTCTTTCACATTCTTTTGAAAAAACTTTTTTGTTTTTGTTTTTTGCTCGAACGAAATTCAGTGCAAAAAACAAAAAACTCAATTTAAAACTTTTTTCTTTAGAAAAAAAATTTAAAAATAATAAAGCCCATTATCACACAAACTTCCGATTATTTTATTTAAAAAAAAAAGAATTCTTGAGTGAATTTTTTTTTTGAAAAAAAAACTTTATTTTGTTTACAGTTTCGGTTTTTCTTTACCCGCAAATTTCTTTGATTGATTCTTTATTCAACAATTCTTCATCGTCGTTGCTGTTGTTGTTCCATTTTTACAAAATGTTCATCCAATTCATGAAAACCTTCACAGCTTGGAGATAATTTTCTACCAAATTTTCGACAACAATTTAACATCTGTTCCAATTCTTTTTGACATTTATCCGGTTGATAATTATTGATACGGGTACATTTTTCAAGTATACAGGAAAATTTTACACATGGATCAGGCATTTATAATGATGATAATATTTCAGGAAAAAATGATAATTTTGTTTCGAACGTTTTGTGGCTAGGGAAAACTTTTTTTAAAAACCGTTTAAAATATTCGCATCAAACGAAAACTTTTCTCGCTGGATACATCTGTTGATTTGATAAACCCAAAACAACAACAAAACAAACCAAAACAGAATTTTCAATTTTGTCATTAGGGTCATTGTATTTTGTATTTTCAATCAAAAGATGGCGTTGTTTTTAAAATATATATAATTTTTAGTTGCCCATTGAAAATTATTATTTTTAAAATTAAAAAAATCAAAGATTAAAAATTGATGACTGGCCATGGTGTCACGTATAGCTTTCGGTTCCATAATATCGATCACCATAGTTGCCTAAAGATTTGAAAAGAAGAAAATTGAAAATTATCATCCCTTTTTCCTCTCAAAAATTTTTCAAAAAAAAAAAATCAAAATTTACCAATACCAGGACGAATATAGAATTTATCATTAACTTCAGGATCAACTTCGGTTGTAATCATTAAAACTTTTGGAAATGCATATGCAATTGTTTGTACACCGGATGATGCCATTAATAATGAACAAAGCATAATATTTTCTTCTAAAACATCATAATCAAGTAGAACCCGTATGGCCATCATTGATGCTGCACCCGATGCAACAGTTGCATCCATCAGAATAACTTTATAATCACGAATATTATCCGGTAATCGGTGATAATATAATTCTGGTTCTTGTGTCAGCTGATTTGTTTGTATGAGGATTTTTCCAATTCGTACGGATTTCAATACATCACATAATGCTTGTTCCATTGTTTCACCGGCACGTAATATCGATACACCACATATTTTATTATTATCAAAATTCATCATTTTACCACGATATTTTACATTTTGAACGGTATCAACATCGATTGTCTAATTAAACAAAAAAAAAAAACAACCTGAGTTAATCAAATCAATCAAATCAATCAATCTTACCTTGAAAGGAAAAAATGATAATGCAAATTCAATCAATAAACGCATTAAACGTTTTGAATAGAATATAAATTCATCACGTGTTGTATCTTTATCACGGATTATTGTATGCATTCCTTTTATTTGTGGTGTTGGTGACAATATTTTCAATGTTTCAGGTAATGGTAGATTTTGTTGATTTCTTAATAGCTTTGAACGTAATTTTAAACCTTTTGATTGTAATTGTGTATGTACATGTTGTACAATTAGATCGATTGCAACACGATTTTCACCACCACGTGGTACAATAATATCAGCATATGCCATTGATGGTTGTATATAAAAATCAAACATTGGTTTAACAAATTGATTATATTGTTTTAAAACACCTTCTAAATCACGACCACGTTCAGTTATATCACGTTGTAAACGACGTGCTAATCTGATATCGGAATCTGTTTCAATAAAAACTTTCATTTCCATCATATCGACAATTTCTTTTTTAGCAAATATCATTATTCCTTCACATATGATTACACTGGCACCGTACATTGTTTTCTAAATTTTTAAACATGGAAAAAAGTTTTACAACAAAAAGCCTTTTTCAATAGAAAAATCCTATATACTAACCGTTATCTTTTCACGACGATGTGTAACAAAATTATAAATAGGTACATCAACACGTTTACCTTCTTTCAGTTTACGTAATGTTTCAATAAGTAAATCAAAATCAAATGCATCTGGATGATCAAAATTATATTCATTTTTTCTTGCTAATTCTTGTTGTTCTTCATTCAATACTTTATAAAATGAATCCATACTTAATAATGTAACCCATGGTACATCTAATGCTTCAATAATACGTTTAGCAACGGTTGTTTTACCTGATGCACTACCACCACAAATACCAATCAAAAATGAACCTTTTGATTGTCCTTGTTGATCATACCATGGTGGACGACCAGCAGTATAAATTGTACGTTTAGCCGTACGAAGTACACGATCAGCACGAACACTTTTAAATATTGATGATGATGATTGATTTGTTTTTCTTGGTTTTGTTATCGATGATTTTTTCATTTGTTCTTGTTGTTGTTCTTGATCCAGAATATCATTAAATTCATTATCAGCTATTGATGTAAATAATAATGGTGAATTCGAACGAATCGTTGATGATGGTTGTGGTAAAATATCGGGAACATCTTTTACCATCAAATTTGTATTGCTGGAAAAGAATTTTCAAAGTTGAAAAAAGTCAACAAACAAGAAAAACATCAAAAACAAACAAACAGAAACATTACCTATTAAATTCATTCGTAGCTGACATTATTGATCAAAAGAATGGGTAATCGATTGAACCAAATCAACAAAACAAAACAAAAAAAATCAAACAACGTGCGTTGTGAACCTCGTGATTATCAATTTGTTGTCGTCGTTTTCCCGAATTGATAAACGAAACTATGGAATGAGCAAATGCCAAAACACCATACAAACCACACACACCACCACCATTCACCATAATACATTATATATCTCCTCGGTGATATATAGAGCAAACAAAAAAAAAAAAAAAAAAAAAATCTTTAAAAAAATTTACGAACTGAGGATGCGTATTGGGAGAAAAAAACTGAATATTTTCAAACGAAAAAAAAAACATTTTTTTTCAAATTTTTTTTAATTTTTAAAAATTTTAGTGAATTTTTTTAATAATTATTACTTTCTGTGTGTGTGTGTGTGTGAGAACCTATATAATTTTTCAATATAAATGTGTGTGTTTGTGTGTGGGTGGATGTTTTTTTTAAAGTTTAAAAGTTTTTTGGTTTCAAATATCAAAGTCAGTAAGTTGTTGTGTAAGTGTATGTGGTTTATAGTTAAAATTATGAAAAAATTATTGGTCAAAATGATGATGATGATGATGATGAGTATAAATCGATGATGCCTTTGTTTATAGTCATTTTGGTTGATTGGCTGCTTGATTGATTGATTGGTGATTCTAAATCTGTATGTCTGTGTGTGTGTAGGTTTGGTTTATTTAAAATTTTTTAAAATAAAAAGTGATGTTTGTGTGTGTATTTTTCAATGCAACAAATAAAAAAGGCATTCAGTAAATTCAGTTTGTTTTGATGAGTAAAATTCTGTGTATTTGATAATCAAATATAATATTGTTGTGATGATGATGATGATCGGGACTAGGTGATGAATTTTCTAAATTTAAGAAAAATGTTGGGAAATGTTTTTTGAAATTATGATCTTGTTTGTTTTCCATTGACAATATTTACATTCAGAAATTCTTCATTGTTGTTGTTATTGTTGTTATAAGGAATGTTGTTTTCAATTTGATTTGATGAGATCAACACGATTGAATGGAATCAGTAGGTTATTATGGAATTAAATTATTATTGAATGAAATCCGGGAATGATTTGATTTGATTGAAATGAAAAAAATTGAGAAAATGTTTTTTGAATTTTTTTTTTGGTGATGATGAGGTATTCCGATGAGAGAAAATTTTGAACACATTTGATTTTTGCATTTTTCGTTCTAGTATCTATATTTTTTTTTACTTGATGTAATTTGAATTATGCCCATTTCCAATAGAAAAAATTGATGATGATGATTATAATGTAGAATTATTCAAAGTAGTAATAGTAGTTTAGCAGCTTCTTCTTCTTTTCATATTTATATAGATTGATTGATGAGAATGGCGTAATTATTATTATTATTATTTTATAAACATAATGATAATCAATAATGATAACATTATGATTAATAAAATATTATTAATTGAATTATTTTTTAAACCATGATTACAACCATCTTCACCATTACATATACAGAATTCAACCATAACGGAAAATGTTCCTGTACGACGTAAACATTCATTTTCAATTTCGGCACCTGGTGGTATCGTATCGAATGTATCATTGATATAACCACATCCACGTATTACACGATATTCATCGTTTACTTTATTTGATTTGGAAAAATATTTTGTTTTTAAAAGTTAAATTAAATTAAAATAGATTATCAAAAAAATGGAAAACATACTTTTCTGTAATGTTTTACGACAAATATTTCCTTCTTTATCCGGAAATCTTGATAAATGTTTTTGACTACAATCGGCCATAGCAAAATCATCCGGTTTAAATGGATCATCACAACCTCTATTGATCATTGAATTACAATCCCAACATTTTATGGCCATTGTAGCTAGAAATATGGTGTTAATAATATTCATTTAAATTAAGAAATTCAATTTCAAGAAAAACAGAAAACAAAACCAAAAATAATCAAACATACCCAAAGGCATCATAATCATGATGATGGTCATCAATGTGGTTAACATTTTGGCTACCTGAATTAATTTTGTTGATGATGAAAACGAGAATTGTAATGATGATTTCATGATTGAAATGGTGAATGTGTGTGAGTGTGTGAAGCACAAAATTTCGATGAAAAAATAAACAAAAACAAAATCCAAATGGATGGAAATATCAAATGCAAAAGAAAGAAAAATTCAAATCTCAATGATATTTTGAATAGTCGATGAGGATTTTGATGGAAATTTTCTTCATCAAAACAAACAACACAAACACCATAAATAAAGCGAGCGAAATAGACACAAATGATGATGAATTACGACTTTTGGAAGAAATCAAATGAAGAAAATAGAGGAAATTGACGAAACCAAACAAACAAACAAAAAAATTTAATGATTTCAATCGTCGTATATATAATAATGATAATGGTTATTATGATGATGATGTTTTTCTAGCTTTTTGGCCAAAAAAATACATAAACCATCAACAATCGAAATAGCAATTGACATCAATTGTTGAATTGATTCGCAATGAAGAAAAAAAAAGTTGATGTTTTGGCAAAGAGAAAATATATTTATTGAAGAAGAAAACGATTAAAGCTACCAACACACCACCAAAACACTATTATCGTTGATCAAAAAATTTGTTTTTTCTATTTCGAAAATCATTAAAATTATTGTATCACATTGGGCAGTGTTTGTTTCTCGGGATCATTTGTGTTATTATTTTGATTTCGAAAAGGTTTGGAGTATCTTTTTTTGTTAACGTCGATATTTTGAGTATACAGAAAAACCAATGTTAAATGTTGTTGAATAACATATTTTTGGACAAAAGCAAAAGCAAAACAACAACAACAACAACAACAAAATCAAATGGCAAACAGCGGCAAATCCAGGAGTAACGCGAGAAGCGAAATTCGTTTTGAGTAAAAAAAAACTGGAATTCGAATTCGTTCGAATGAATTTCAGTACAGTGGTATGGTAGTGGTATGGTTGTGAACGAGGAGGTGACCACTAGGTTTTTTTTTTGGATTTCCAACCGAATTGGAACACTTTGTGTGTATACAGTGTTCCATGTTTTGTTTTTTTGGCAAACCAAAAAAACTGTTTCTGGAACAGACAAATAATGATTCATTTGATTTGATCCATTTTTTCCTTTCTCTCTCTCTCTCTCTCTCTCTCTTACTTGCTTTATTTTCAAAAAAAAATGTTAGTGAAATGAATAAAATGGACGGGACCCGTGTTTGTATCGTTTTTGAATACGTCATTCGGTCATATAGTTTTGCTACGAAAAAAAAAGAAAGAAAGAAAAAACGAAACGGAAAAGTCTATGTCGATTTTCAACCGGGGATTTTATTTTTTATTTCTTTGAATAATTACAACAAAAAAACTGAAGCAAAAAAAAAAAAAAAAGGTAAATTTTAAAATTTCAAACAAAACAAAAAAATTTGAAATTTTTTTTTATTCTACTTCCATGTGATGCAATTGGGTAGAAATAGTCGTTTCCTACTCATTGTTTTCTTTTTTTTCATTAATCCAAAAACATACACACCCCCTGTTTATTCTGGTCACGATTTTGGTTTTTTCTCCTTTTAATTTTGCTGAATTGAATCGAAGATCCAAGACATTTTGTCACATCAAACAATCGAAAACAAAACAAAAACGAAATGAAATAACCAAAAGTTTCTTGTTGTTGTTGACGTCATCGTCATCTAACAAGACCTTCGAAAAAAAAGAGATGTGACGACAATGATGTTGTTGATCACACTGTATAATGAATCTATTTAGAATCCCGGTTATTTTATTTTTTTGCGAACCCGGTCGGGAACGAAAAATGATCATCAATTATATAGCAAACAGCCGAAGCAACCGAAAGATATTCTGAACAAATGAAAAATCTCATCATTGATTTTTTTGTTTTGATCTGCAGTGAAAACCAGCGATCAAAAAAACCGCAATGAATTAAAAATTTATGAAAAGAATTTTTTTTTACCAAGAATCGATTTTTTTTTGTTTTGTTTTGAAAATTACCAAATTGTTTATTGCGTGCGGTTACATTGAAACAGGAAAGAAAAACTGAACGAAATTCTGTTCAAAATTCAGTTAGTTAATCGTTTTTCTCTCTCTCTCTTGATCTGGCTGAATAATGTTTTAATTTCTTTCTTGCCTGTCTTCCTTCCTTCTTTACCAGCAAAGCAAACAAACAACAAGGTTTCGAGGAAGCAAAAACAAATGTTTTCAAAAAACCAAAATTCCCGCCATTCTTTAAATTAAAAAAAAAATTGTACGTCCAATATGAATGGGAACAATCAGAATAATAATAACAAATGATAAATGCGTTCGATTTTTTTTGTTTCAATATTCTCTCGATGTGATCGATATTTTGGTTTACCGAAATTTTTTCCCGATCAAAATCAGATGAAAAAACTTTCCGGTTTTTGTTCGGTAATTATAGATTCGGAAAAAAATCATCAACAACAAATGAATGTCCTTCTAAAATGGACCAAATTGATCAAAATTCCAATGATCATCATGATGGTGATGATCATGTTGAAGCTAAACATGTTTATGTTCTATTAACGGATCGGTTAGTCACGGTTATTATTATTGTTTTTTTGTTTTGTTTAACCGTTTTTCTCCCCCTTCCCGACCAAATATAGTTACCGTATTTCTCGAAACATTCGTGTCGAATGGTTTCTTGATAATTTAAATAAAAATTTTCCATCATTATCCAAACGTAAATTGGTAAGTTAATTTCTTCATTTCATCATTTGGTTAAACATTGAAATCTTCTTCATTGTCGATATTTGATTTTAGACGGATTTTCAAAATGAAATTGATATTATATCGTTTGTTACATCATCATCAGATGATAATAAATATGAATTTCAAACAACAACAACAACAACAACCGCAAATCGTTTGGAACAACAACAACAACAACAACAAAATGAAAATTGCAAATTCCGAATTAGTTGTGATACAAAATTTACATTTTTTTCAAGAAAATATTGTTTTGTTTTCATATTGGATATGTCAACATCGGTTGCCAATGTTGATATACAACATTCAACCATTTTAACCGATGAATTATATGATGTATTGGCAAAATGTTTAACCAATATTGTTAAACCATTTTATGTTCCTGGTTCGAAATTTTTATTTCAACCAGAAATCTATTTAACAATTGTTGCATATTTACCATTCTATTCATTAGATGTTAATAATGTTATTGTACATGGATTTAAATTAACAATGGATAATATCGATAGATTATTACAAAAAGTTTTCGAACGTATATATTACTATATTGAATTATTAAGTCAAAATATATGTTCGGAAAATTTTCATGATCAATATGTTTATCGTCAACAATGGCGTACGATTGTACCGGCAAATCTATCATTAATAAACATGATTCGATTTGGTCTGCTGTCATTGAATCTTTTACCTGAAAATAGTCATCAAGGTATTGTTATTGTAACCGATGGTAATACAAGTTTTTCCGATGCCCATACTTTGGAATCAGCATTAGCACAGCTAAGACTTAGTATGATATCATGTTCATTCATACATATTGGTAGTCCACCACATCCAGATTCAGCATTAGGTTATGTACCTTATATTGATTTTATGAATTTTATATCACAAGCAACATTTGGTGCTTATTTATCGATTAGTTCAGATTATGATGATGATGATGATCAAACAACGGAGAATAATAATTTCAATGTATTTCATCGTGCTTTTTTTGTCTACAGTTTTAATCATGGTCGTTCAAGTTTTACAAAATGTTTACGTTCACGGCGAAAATCTTCATCATCGACAACATCGACAAACATATGGGTTATTAATAATCCATATTTCTATTCGAATCAAGATGATGATCAGGATAATAATGTTTTTCGTAATCAGAAAAAAGATCAACAATTATTACGAAGGAAACAATTGGAAAATCAGATAAATGCAAATTTTTCACAAATACTTTCATATCGTTTACGTGAAGGTTTTACTATAAAACGTGTAAATCTAAAACAATCGGAAAATATTATTGAAATATTATTAACATTACCATGGCGTCATAATGTTAATATTGAATATCATATATCAGCTTATTTTCATCGAAACAATCATAATAATAATAATAATCAGAATGAAGATATTGGTGATGATAATGATGAAAATTTTACAAATTATGAAGTTATTGTTGAAAGTAATTATAATTTTCTTCATGATGCAAGTTGTCAAAGAAAAATGTTTAAAAGTCAATTACGTTCAACAACAATTAAACAATTTTGTTCAACAATTAAACATTTTAATGATTCAAATAATCTGGGTATACATTTTCATCATTTTGCACGTAATGAAATTTATCGTTCCATACCTGAATCAATGCGTAATGGTGTATCATTATTTTATTTACAACCAAATAGTAATGTACCTGAAGTAAGTGTACCAAATGAATTACATTTAAAATTTGCACAATATTGGAAACCAATTTGTATGTTAGATGTAAACATGTGTCAAAAATCATCACTGCATACACATCAAATTAATATTCTATTGAAACATGATTATCCATTACCTGAATATTTATTTCATCCAAATCAATTTGGTCGTTATGAAACAATACAATGTAAACAAACAATGTCCGTATTGAATGTTGTTTTAAAAGAATGGAGTTCATTTGTATTGTTAGAAAATCATAGTTATATTAAATTAATAAAAGAAAATGATGATGATAATGATAAATCATATTCATTTTATCTGATACGGATTATTGCACAACCACCTTGTTTAGTATTACATCTTGCATTTATTGGTGGTACAAGTGGTTCATTACGTAATCAAATTGTAAATAATCTTTCAAAAAAATTACGTCAATGTAAATTACCACAAAGGAATTTATCATCATCATTGGTACAGAAATCAACTGGTCAATCGACAACATCGAAAACAACAATAACCGTGCCATCCAACAATGTGATTAATAATTCTGATTCAAACAACGATGACAACGAAGACGACGATGATGATGATAATGTCAATCATGATAGTTTAAATAACGTAGATGGTGATGAAAAACATTCAAACATTGACCATGATGATGATAATGATATAAAAAATCATCCTACATCGACTTTTGATCCTACGAATCCTGATCCTGAATTGATTAATCGAAATTCTGTTACTTTAAAAGATAATAATGATCCAATAACAAAAACAACAACAACAACATCAGGATTTGTAACAATAACATCAAATAAACGTAATAGTTCAAATAATAATAGTTTATCTGTAAATTGTTTTGTCATCCTAAACCGGCCAATCGAACGTATGTTAATACGTTATGAAAAAATACCAAAAGATTTTTATAGCTGTTATAAATATGAAGAAGATTTACGTTGTAAAAATACTAATAATAATAATAATAGTGGTGGTGGTGGTGGTGGTGGTGGTTCAGGAACAACACAACTAACATCATATGCATCATTAAATATGTTTCAAACATTGGTTAGATTTCTTTATCATCAACGTTTTATTTGGTCAACAACAACAACAACAAATGATCCTGGTCAATCGACATTATTAAATAATCGTTTAGATATAACATCTATTTCGAAAATTTTATCCGTTTTAACATTGTAAGTTCTATATGATGAGAGGATTCCTCTTCTTTTTACAGAAAATTTTTTACTTAAAAATAGCATTTATTTTAGGACAATTTAGATTATCAGGTTTCAGTTCAGGTCCAAATATCTTATGTTACCCCGATTTCGATTGATTTTTTTTTCTAGTTTGTTACACAAATACCTTGTGTGTGTACCTTTTTTTCCCTCAATCGTTATCCAAATATTGATGATTTTAGCAGAAACGATGGAAATCTTTCATCTTTTTCTTTGGCTGCTTTAAGCACATCATATTTGCAGAAGAAAGAGATAGTAAAAATTGTATTTATTTTTATTTTTTTTATATGTCAACGAGAACAACCATATTATATGGATTTGTCGTGTGTTTAAGTGTGTGTGTGTTGATCCTCTTTTTTTTCCCCATTTTATTATCAATCAGGGTAGATTTTCTACTTTTTTTTGGTAAATAATTGAAAAAAAAAGTTTTAATCTTTGTCTCCTTGTTTGTGTATACAAAAATAGGTACACATTGTGTTTGCCTGGTTTAAAATAGAGAATTTGATAAGAATCTTTATCAATATTGATTGATTGATTGATAACCTTTTTTTCTTTTTCTTTTTAAATTCTCTTTTCTCATAACAGAAAACGAATACAAGAAGGTTTTACATTAGCCTATAATGAATGTGGTGTTGTTAATCTGGTCAAAGAATTATTGATGAATGATGATGATGGTGATGATAATGGTGAAGATGATGAAGATGATGGCGGTAACAAACAACAGAAATCAACAACAACAACATTTCCATGTCTTGTACAATATATAATATTTCCATCAAATGTTGTTATACGTAATCATCATCATCATCAAAATAATAATCATAATCAGAATAATAACGTACAGGATGAAAATAGGTATGGATATTTTTTAAAAAATTTTGATTTAATTTTTCCCCTTTTTGATCCCTTCATTTTTTTTAAAAAAAAGCAATGTTTTTGATGATGAAGATGGTAATATGGTGGATCATCATCATCATCATCGTCAAAGACATCAAAATCAACAGCAGCAACAGAAAAATGATGATCTTATTGATGATAAATTATTTGGCCAGCAACAACAACAACAACATTTAATTGTAACCGAATGTTGGATTGAACCACAAAATGGCAATGCATATAATAATCAATTATCATCATCATCAGCTAATAATCAACATCAGCAACAAGATAATAAGATTTTACCACTTACCTATGATCGTATATCATCATCGGTAAGTTGTTGTTGCTATCCATTATGCAGTTATTATCAGTCAAAGATTATTGAGTTTATTATCATTATTAAGGCTTATAATTAGATGGAATTAGTAGTCAATTGAGACACTTTTTTTTCTTTTTTTTTGACGAGGTTTTTTTAACGATGGATTTTTTTTACTTCTTCTTTTTCTGGATTGCATTGTATTGGATAGATACTTGTCTTTAAGTTGATCACTTATCTGGTTTTTTTTTCAAATAAAAAACTGAGGAATCTTATCAGGATTTTCTTTTCTTTTTTTTATAATGATAATTAGATTTACAGAAATGAAAAGTTGAAATTTGTCTAGAAATAATCTTGAGGTTATAAATATTGAACCAATTGGATGGATGGAAAGTTTTACTTGTTGTTTTTTTTGCCAGTGTGATTTTCTTTTTTTTGCAATCAAGAATTTCGTTTTTTTCTCAACTTTCTTCGAGAAAAACCTTCGAAAAAAAACAGATCATAGAGAATTAAGTGGAGTAGTGGTCTCTGCATTTTTGATGATTTTTTTTATGGATGAATTTTTCATTCAAAATTCAACCAACACCAAAAAAAAAAAATGAAACAAAAATTCAAAACGAAAATAAGCCGAGATTCACTCCTCCAACTATTCTCTCCATGACCAAATGCCATCGTTATTTTCTCATTTAACCCCTTTACACTTTTTTTTTTTGCTTATATTTTTGAATTGCAGCTTGATTTTTTTCGCTTTTTGCTTTTCCCTAATTAAACCATTGAATATTTTTTTCTATTTTTTTCCCCACTCTTCCAATAGTTTTATGAACGAGATTTTGAATTGGTATCCGTATTACTAACGTATGAATATCTAGTAACATCAACATCATCGGATCGATCATCCAAAATAACTTGTAGTCGACAACAAAATCAACTGCCAAATGATGATGATGATGATGATGATGATTATCATTCAATATCGATACAAAGATCAAAACAATCATCAAAACAACGTTTCAAACATATTCCATTTAAATTTAATTTATTAAGTTTATTGGATAAAAGTCAATTGGCATTGATAAAATTTCGTACATTATATCAATGGTTTAATATTTCGAACAATGATGATGATGGTGAAACACCTGATCCAAATAATTGTACAAATATAATGCTTTATTCAGAATTTATATATAAAATTTCGCATTTATATGATGAAATTGATTTTAATCATGAAGAAACAATATGTTTAATACGGAAAACTAATGAACGATTATCAAGAAAACAACGTCATTGTTCAAATGATGATAATCATGGTGAACATGGTGTTAATAATAATGAATCATTATTATTATTTAGCCATTTGGATCAATTACAAAAAGATCAATCAATTAGATTTCGTTGTTTTTGTAAACGAATATCCTCTGATTGTATTATAATAATATTATTACCATCATCATATAAAGTAATTAGACGTTTAACATTTATTGAACAACAACAACAAGAAAAGGTTAATAAGAAATTAATTTATGATGATCAACATGAAAACAAGAATAATGAAAATAATGGACAACGTTATGCATCATTAATCATACCGATTATAGTGCATAAAATAACATTTCAATCATTAACAAATATATTGTTAAATAATCCAAATCTTAATGAATATGATTATTATTCAGATTGGAATATTTTATTTGATTTTACGAATGATTGTTTGGAATCACAACAAGCACCACCAGTATCAATGACTGGTCAACATTATTATTATGGTCATCGTCGTCAATCTTTGAATAATGACCAACATCAACAACAACAACAATCAAAAACAACTATTGAAGAAATTGCATTAGAATTATTTACACAATCAATTGAAACATTATATCGTAATAGTTTTACGGATGCAATTTATAAATCATTACGTTATGAATTTGATTCAGATGATCGTGATATTCGTTTAGTATTGGAAAAAATTTGTCATAAAACATTTGATTATGTTGATATAACGGATTTTTTAATATATACTTGTCAACATATGAAACCAGTAATCAATGCTTATTTTGAACGTTTTCCAAACAACAATATTTTCGATTTACTTACATATGTTGCACGTATTGTTGATATTGATGTTAATGATGATGATCATAACAACGATAACAACGACAATAACGATAATAATGATCATTCAAATATTTTAACATTACGGTTATCATCAACAACATCATCGAATGATGATGATGATGATGGTGAAGAATCATCAAAGAATTCCAATCAAAGTTGTAATCATAATGAATTATTACGACAAAATTTTCTTAATCTTATACAATCACAATTCACTTTGATTCAAACACCACCATCAAATAGTTATTATTATTATGATTATGAAAATATACAAACAAAAAAATTTACATTAGATGCAGAAATGATGTTAAAAATGCAAAAAGATGCTAAAAAAAAGAAAGAATTATTGATTGATTTTTATACTAGAATTGATAATGGTAAAATTGATTTGGCGGAATTTTATGAAAAAGTTAAAAATTCATCAAAATTTTTTGATCAAGATTTTGTATTATTACCAACATCATCAAATCCAATGATTATTACACAAATGATGAACGATGATGATATTATTGATGATATCGATGTTGATATCGATACTGAAACTATCGAAACAAATAATGTTAATAATGATGATGATGGTGATCTATTCAACAAAGATCCAAGCCTATTTCAATCATTATTTTTAACACGTCCATTTTTTATTGGATTTTTTTATTCAATAACATTAAAAAATGATCAACAAATAAGAAAAATATCATCAATACCAACATGTTTAATGGATATTATATCGAAAACAACTAATAGTCAAAATTGTATTGAATTGGAAACATTTCGTGTATTATTAAATATTGAAATTATTACACAGGCATTAGAACCGGAAGAAATATCATCAAATTGTTCAGTAATATCTGGTGGTGGTATTGGAACCAATAATAATAATAATAATGTAAATGATCAAATGGCTGATAATATTGAACAATCAGTACCATGGAATAAATTATTGGATACATTTCAAGTATATAAATATTTTGAATTTTTTCATCAAATCAAATGGATGATACGTGATGAAATTGTATCATTATCACATAATTTATTTCAAATTTGTCCAAAAACATTAGAAATGGTTGTTGAACATATAAAACATACTTGTAAATCAAATTTATCATTTTTTGAACGTATGGAATTGAAATTTGTATTTCCATTGGATGAATATCCGGATTTTTTTATTGAATTTCGTAATGAATTGGGAAAATTAGAATTTTCAACATTTTGCCTATGTGAATTGGGTCAATATTTTTATGTTATACATAATACAAAATGTTCAACAAATTTATCAACGGATACAATGATTTGTACTAGTTTAAATAATGATAATATTGATCAATATGATGATTATAATGATAATGATGGTGAACAAAAACGATTAATATTCAATGAAGAATTATTTGATCCACCAAATGAATCATTAGTTGCTGTTTATACAATTGAAGAATCATTATTAAATTTTTCACCAAATTTTTGGCTAATATTATCATTAGAAACAATGGATGAACAAAATCGACAAAATTATGCTGCATTATATTTTCATTCACGACAAAACATTTATCTATATGGTTCGGAAATATTTAAACAATTGAAAAAATGTTTAGAATTTTTATGTAAAAAATTTAATCAAAAATTTTTATTAGAACGTTTATTTGAAACAAAAATCTGTGATGATTTACTTATATCGAAAGAAGATCAAGATCCATTTAGTAAAAATTGTGTACGTAGTACATTAAATATAACACCAATAATAAATTCATGTGAAGGTAGTTTAAATTATGATTTTGATTATGATTATGATAATATAACAATGAAAATTCTGCGTACAAATTTTCAATCCGGTTCATTCCATTGTAATGTTGTATGGTATAAACATTTTCCATTACACAGGCGTTTACATTCACTTGGTCTGAATACTATACGTTCGGTATTGAATTCATTTGTCATATCAAATCGTAATAATTTATTTGTTTATCGTGAAAAATCCAATGCAATTTTCTATGTACGAATGTATGAAATTGAATGTAATCGTGATTCATTTAGTGATAATTTTGAATATAATTTATCATCGACAACAACAGATGATTTGGATGAAATGAATGATTATTATTATTATGATAATATTATTGTACCGATTCCGTTAAATTCTGCGATAACAGCAACAACAACAGCGACAAATGAAGATTGTGAATCAAATAATCGTTATGAATCGGATAATGATTCAGTTAATTCATTGAATGTTAATCGTTCAACAACAACAAATATTTGTATACCACAACAATGTATACTGATGAATGTACATGGTATTACTGAACCAAGTAATGAAATAAAAGAAGATATGGTTGCTGCTTTACAACGAAAATTGGATGAAGCCATTCTGGATAGTTTAATAATGATGTTAGTACGTAATCCACATTCGAAATTAACATCACAAGATGTTTGTTTTATACAAGGACGTAATTCACAATTAAAAAATTTTCATTTTATTATTAATGAATCATATTATCCATATATAAATAATTTAAAAGGTTATATCAGACAGAATTTATCTCTATATTTTTATAATCCAAAATATTTGGATCGTAATCCAGATTATCATTTTAAATTATTTATTAAACAACGATTTCATTGTGTTAAAGATGAAGATATATTCTTATTTCATTGTCAAGAAGAATCCGGAAAAGATACTAAAGGTATTGCTTGTATAATATTTTCAATTGTATCACGTGATCAATCAACATTATCATTGGATTTATTACCAAAAACATTTCAAATAACAACAATGGATATTAATGATTTTGTTGGTGGTTATTTTGATTATTTAGTCACTGTTTATAATCCTGTTTGTATGAATGAAAATTTAAATGTAAAATTTTTTATTAATTTTCAATTATGGTATGCCGGAAAAATTGATATAAAATTTTTAAATCAAAAATTACGTACAGTTATTGTAAATTCACTTTGGGAATTTAATTTAGAATTTAAAGTTTTTAAATTATGTCAATATGATGATCAACAACAACAACCGCAGCAACAACAACAATCACCAGTAAATCCCTCATATGGTTCAATGTCTGAACCATCAACACCGAAAAAACAGCAGCCACCATCATTATCGCAACAACAACAACAACCACCATCAGCAACCCAATCAGAAAAACGTGAACGACGTTCCGGTTTATCGAATGTATCATTGTCAAAACCACCACTTTTACAGATTGGTGGTGATGATGATGATACTACTTTCAATAATAACAAATTTGGTCAATCATCTTCATCAAGTATAATTGAACATTTGGATAATCAGGAAAATTATTTCAATTTTTCAAATATTGAAAGCGTTGGCAGTAGTAGTCAAACTTATCAGCCATCATCATCAGCTAGTCCATATAATCATTTATTACGAATACAAGATTATCGTCAAAAAGAACTGAATTGTTTAGCAAATTTTTTACGTATTGCAATAAAACCATGGTTAGATTATGGTAAACAAATTGGTGTACAATCCATTAGTCGTTTAGAATTTCGTGCACAAATGAAACGTTCAATAATGACAATTGTAAAAGAATTTTCACAATCAGATTATATACAAAAATTTGCTAATGATATGCGTATGCATATGCTTTCAACATCATCATCTGGTTTACATTATTATGATTTTGATCAATTTTTATCATCCACTACTACTAATGATCAAACAAATGATGCGAATACGGATAATAATGATGGATCAAATACCTATATGATATTACTACGGCATGAATCATTATGGAAAACACGTTATCTACATCAAACGGAAAATTCATTTGTACAGAATTATATTCGTTCAAAAATGTTTACAAATAAATTTGATATGAATAAATTTGAATTTTTACCTTGTTTTTATAATCCATATTCAACAATTAATTCGGCTAGCATTGGTGTTGGTGGTAATACAAACAAATCAATGAATGATTCAAATTTAGCATTAAATACTTCGGGTATTGAATTGAAAACACCAACAACAACAACCGCAGCTAATGATTGTATGGACAATGTACAATGTATATCACCAAGACAAAAATTCCTTCTACTTTATATTGAAGATGAAAAATTAATTGTCTATCTTTATAATTGGAATACAAATATGAATAAAACAATTATCGATTGGTTTTCAAAAATGTTTCTTTGGCATAATGCACGTAGTTTATTATTGAAAAGTTTAATATTACAAAAAGCCGGTATATTTCATAATACACCATTTAAACGTTATACATTTGAAGATTTAATACAAATGTCAAATATATCATTTAAAGATGTTGTCTATTTCGGTGGTGGCAGTGGTGGTGGTGCCGGTAGTAGTAGTGGTGGTGGTGGTGGCGCTATTAATCGTAATAAAAATATCGGTCAAACATTTTTTCTTAATCCAGATTTATTATTAAAATATGAAAATCCATTTCAAGCTTATAATGAAAATAAAGATCAATTAATTAGTCGATTGGATTTTCTACTATTTGAAACAAAAAATTATGATTATATTTTTTCACCATTTGTTTATCATTTGAATGAAAAAGATCCTCATCACAATCATCAACAACGTTCAAATCTTTTTGATCTATTTCTTGGCCAATTCAATTCTGATTATAATGTTTATATACGTGATCTAAAGGAAATATCAAAAGTATGGCAAATACATGGTACAAAACATAATTATCCAACAATGGATAAAATTATTTATTATGTAAAATCATATGGTCGATTAAATCATTATTGTTTAACACCATTTTTATTCAGTCATAAATGGCGTTTTATAATATCATTAATACGTGATCATACATTATTATCATCATCATTATCATCATTACAACAACAACAACCACGTATTAGACATATGTCCGGTGGTAATATATTAAGATCAATTAATCATAATGAAAATGAATTTATTTTTACTGGTAAACAACGTAATCGAAGGAAGAGTGGTCCACCAAATATGTTGGAAAATACAACAACATCATTATCATCTTCGCAATCACACAACAATCAAACAGCGACAACAACAACATCGATACTAACAAATTCAAATCATACAACATCGGATGAAAGTTTGGATATGCTTGTTTGTCCACATTATATACAAGAATATGTACAATATTTACAAAGTTTAGGTTTTAGTTCAATTAAATCACAAAAAGTTGTTAGTTTTCGTAAAAATTTAGATTTTGAACTAACAAAACAACAGCAAACATATGGCTATGGTAATCGATATAAATATTCGAATGTTGGTTCGGGAAGATTGAAATCGAATTATCATCACCACCATCATAATTATCATCATAACCACCACCACCATCATCATCATAATCACCATCATCAGAATAAAAATGAATATGAAAAATTTTATCTAATCAAAACGGTTATAGGTGGATTTTATTTATTTGAAATTGGTTTTGCCGAACCATTTGTTTATAGTTATCTATATTCAATGGATTCAAAACGTTTTTATTCATGGACAAAAAATAATTCCAATTCGGTAAGTTTGTTTTTCAATGAGAATTTTGATTTAATTTTAAAATTTTTTTTCGTTTTTTCCCATTTAAATCAATAGAATATGATAAATTTCCTGGATGAATTAGATTCAATCAAAGTTCGTATGCATCTACATTCATTTACATATGATTATCATTTACGTACAATACATTCATTTATATCTGGACGACAATTATTTCAACCTGGTTATCATTTAATATCATTTCTTGATGATTTTATACGTTATTATCAAAAAGCACCGAATTATGCTAGAAATCATGTTTATACGGATAATCTTATATTTGAATCACAAAAAATTACAGCTGATCAATTATATAATTACCTTATAAAACATAATCAAAATTATGGTATTAATGTATTTTCAATGAATACAACAAATGCATTCGATCAGATGACCGGTATGAATGAAGAATATGTACTAATACGTTTATCAACACATCGTATACCGTTTATTGATGAAAATAATATACAACAAGAAGATAATTTTGATGTTGCATTATTGATTGCCAATCAAAAAATGAATAATGCTAGAATATTGAAACCAAGACAATTATGTTTGAAATTTTATCTATTACTTACATCACAACGTGAATTATTTCCAAAACTTTATTCCGTTCGTTATAAAGGACAATTTAAAACAATTCGTATGCTTAATAATGGTGGAAATAATGATCGTTCATCATCATCATCATCAACAATGATCGATGTTGATGATGTACAATCAAAAAATATTAATAAATCTATATTGATACATAATGTTCCAATGGATGAAACAGTTCATAATTCAATCGATAGATCAATTTATACGGGAATTTGTGATGAAAAAATCAATTATCTTGGTTATTTTAATGCACATGAAATTGTTATGTTAGAAATACTTGAACAAAAAGTAAAAGAAATAAAAAAATATCTTGAAGAAACAATTAAAACAGCTGAAATTGATTGTAGTCGTGATTGTTTATGGAATAATCTAATGGGATCATTAATGTTGTCTAATGAATCACAACAACAAATAACAATGGATGATTTTGATGAATTATTATCATTAGTTAAATCAATACGTTTGGATGAATATGATTCATCATTAATGCAATTCAATTCATTTACTAGTCTTTGGTATCGTACATTAGCACAAAAATTGGAATTTAAATTCGATAATAGATGTCGTAAATTTCATCGTAATACATCGTTTAAGATGGCCATTTTAGAACCGAATTGTAAAGATTGTTTTATATTATATCATTGGAAAAATGCAACACCATTTTTTGTTGTAAGTTTTTTTTTAAAAAATACTATTTTCCTGTGAAAAAAAAAATTTAATTCCGTTTTTTTCATTTGACATTCATAGGAATTTCGTATCGTTTTCAATCAACCACCATCAACAATTATTGATCAAAATTTTTTCCGTCGCTGTGATTCTGGATATCATGTATTGATTGAAGATTTTGTTAATGCATGTACCGCACATATGTGGACTATGTTATTAAGTTGAATTTTATATTATTATTATTATATTTTCCTATTGAATTTGAATTATTTTATCAAATAAAAAAAAATTTTTGAAAAAAAACTGAAAATTAATTATTGATAGTGGCAAATTTCATTGTGTGTGTATTTGTAAAAGCCAAAACGACCATAAATAATTGATAATTATAAGCCACATGTTTTTTTTTAAAAAAAAAGAGGAAATTGAAAATCTTTTCCCTGTAAATTTTCAATTCGGTCAATTACCGTCATGTGAGTGAACCGACAAAGCAACCAAAAAAAATAGACATTTTTGAACTGACAATAAAAAATAATAATTTTATTCTTTTTTCAAAAAAGAAAAATTCAATTTTGTTATTGTTGTTATGCTTTTTTTGTGAATAAATGCATATTTTTATTCTGAAAAAAAAATATTACAAATGACTAACCCATCATCCGAAAATAATGGCAAAAAAAAAATAGAAATAGAGAGAGAACATAATTTGAATAACAGAATCAAAATGATACGACAACGACGACAATAAACAAACAACAACAACAATTCTCAAGAATTTTAAAGTTGAACAAAAATACAGGATTTAAATTCTTTATTTTTTTTCATCCATTCATGCAACAATGGTTGAATAATTTTTCCTTTTTCCACTGCTCTGTACAGGTTTTTTTTTGTAAAACAAAATTGGAATATTTTTGGTTGTTTGGAAAAAAAACTTTTGCATACAAATGTCTGTATCAAATTTTTCAATTTTTTTTTTTTTTTTTTTTGATTTTCAGAAAACAAAAATTCCATTAAAATTCTATAAATATATTTCACATTGTTTTGTTTGTCAAATTTTTCGTTTTTCACTATTTCTCGTTATTATTGTATATTATTATTATCATATTATTTGCCCGAATGAATTTATATTGGCAGCAGTGATGATGTTGGTTCAGAAAAAAAAAGAACAGAATTTTGTTGTTGTTGACATGTTGATGTTTTAATTATCTATCCGTATGTTTGTTTGTCGCTTACTTAATGATAGTTAGCTTCATTTATACAATTATTTTGGTGATGATTTGAGATCCAGAAACAAACAAAAAACAATGAAAAATGAATGTATATTTAAAAAAACAATGAATTTCAATGGGGTACACAGGGTCTTCTGGTTGTTTCAAGGTCAAGAGAGAGAGAGAAAGCGAAGAGATATCTTCTCTAAACAAAATCATCTTTACTTAAATCTTGTATAGGTGATGATTGATAATGATGAGGATAATGTAAAGCAAGTTTTTTTGCTGCTATTGCTGCTGCTGATGTTGCTGTTGTTGTTGTTGAATCATGATTATTATTATTATTATTATTATTATTATTATTATTAGAATGATGATCAACAATAAATTGTGAAAGATTTACTGTTGAATGTTGTTGTTGTGATGGTGTTGTTGTTGTTGTTGTCATTAATAATGTTGTTATTGAATGATGTGTTGTTTGTTGTGTATTAAGTGATATTTCATCATCATCATCATCATTAGTATGATTATGATGATGATGATTTGAATGTTTATGTTGCTGATTATAATGATATTGATTATGATTGTCATTATTATTATGATGATTGAAATGCAATCGTTGTTGTTGTTGATGATTATCATTATTATTATTATTATTAATCTGTGGATTTGGTTCCAATGTTGTTGATGTTGTATAATTTTGATTATTCATATTGAATAATCTTGGCCAACAATGGCTTAATGTTTTGCCCAAGCTCTGCTAATGATAATAAGAAATGAGAAAAACAGAAATAAATTAATATCAAAATCGACAATGAATTTTAGGATAAAAATTTGGAAAGCAAACAAAAACAAAAAAGAAAGAAGATTCTTTCGATAATCTCGATTAATGAAGAAAAATAATTTTTTTGCAAATTAGATTTCAAAATCTTTTTTCTAAACAAAAATCTTTACGATAAAATTTCCTAAATGATTATCGACCATTTGATTTCTCGGAAAGAAAGAAAAAAAACAAATTCTGTTAAAAAGTTAAAAGTAGTCATTCTTCAAGTTTCTTCTTCTTCTTTCAATTTTTTAACACCAGAAAAAGATGAAAAAAAAATCCGATTCCGATTAAAGTGCATTTCAAACATCATAAAAGTTTCTTTCTTTCTTTCTTTCGTTTTTTTTAATTTATCGTATTGTAAAAACTTGACCAAATGACTATATGTCCGTGATGTGTGTGTGTGTGCGACAATCGTAAAACTTTTGTATTTGGCAAAAAAAAAGTTTCATTTCTTTCGTTTTTCGTTTTCTACGTTAAAATATTGTCAAATGGATTGTCGTCACACAAAATTGGATAAAGTCAATTATTTTCTCTCGCTTTCTCTCTATTCAATTTTCGATTGTAGAATTTTGCTTAGTACAACGAAAATGTGAATCTCTGCAACAAAAAAAAAAATGTTAGTTATTCTTTCCCCCCTGGATAAACTTTTGTTTAATGAATATCACAGTCTGATATTCGATACTGTTGCTGCTGGTTGGAAAGAATTCCAAAAATGAAAAATTCTTTTCGAAATAGGTATTTTATACCAAAAAAAAGGGGGGAAAATCCGGAAATTTTTTAAAAATTAAATAATCGATAATGACAAAAATGTAATTATTTTGTAATTAATTTCAAATCTATAACATCATTAATGAAATCATTAATCTTTTCGAATCGACAATACAATGTATCTGGGTCCGTTGAAATTATTTTTACAGCAAGCCACCACCTGCTACAAAGTCACATTTTTGTATTTTTTTTCGATTAACCACACACACACAGACACAGTAAATAACATTTTGACATTTCATAAAACGATCAGGAAATTAATAATTTCAATTTTTATAGATAATAATAAATTCTGAACAGTGCCAAAATGGAAAAAAAGAACTATTATTCAATTATCTGGGCTTTGTACAACCAAATCAAAAGAATATTCCGTTTCAATAAATCTTTTAAATCAGAATTTTTTTTTTTGTTCATTTGGTACCCTGTGTTAAATGAAAAAAAAAAGTTAATAAACAGATTTTACGTCAATAATGGATCCGTAGATCGATCAATTTTCGATCGATCGATCGATGGAAAGTTTTTCGATATATATCGGTTTAATCACACACACACACAGGTTTGATGTTCTTTTTGCTTTGGCAATTTGGCAATCAATTTTCTTTTTGACTGCTGATAAACAACATTCTCTCTCTCTCTCTCTCTCTCTCTCTCTCTCTCTCTCTCTCAA